ACTAAGAAAGCTCAATCAGGAGGCGAAACATAAACTTAAATTGGAGCAAGTATTAGATCGGAAAGTATTACATTCCAAGAGCAAGGAAGTCGAAAGAGTGGATTCTACAACAAATAACATATTGCCGCATATTGAAGTAGAGATGATAGGCACTCCTATCTCTCAAAATATTGAGAATTTTCCAGTTTCTAATGAGTTACCAGGACCACCCATACCGGAAATCACCCTTGAAGAGAAGGAAGCAGCGCAAATTCTCATGTCCATATATAGTCAATTTAACAATTAGACTCATGTTTAGGGCTATAGTTGTCTCCGTCATCATGAGATCAAGATTGTTCCCCTTTTTAGTCAGCCCAGTAATTAAGAATACAGTTCAGCATAGTTAATAGTATAGTAATATTCAAGAAATCAATTCGTCAAATACACCGAACTACTAAAAGTCTAAGAAGTTTTAGCTTATCATGCTCACGTATGATTTTACAAAGTCGCTTTCTCTATCGCAAAGCGCGAGTTAAAGTTCAGTTGAAGTTAAAGCAATAGAATAAGGAGCCCAAATTCAGATGAAAACATCGCGTCTGAGAGCCAGTTTTGCTGGAATAGAATTATTAAGCCAGTATGTCATTAGATCGCACAGGGATCTTCACCGTATTCCGCTAGTAAAAATCCTCTGAGCTCGAGATTGAGTGCTAGACGAGCAAAGGAAGCCTGTGAACGCCACGATCCAAAACGGTACTCAAGTCGACTGATAGGACCCTCAAACCCAGACACCGTGCCGTGATCGATTATATCGTCGATGTCGTACACGAACTTGCTTGAGAAAAACCCATCCAAGTAGTCTCGATTAACGACCTGTGGATCTCCAGAAATTAGAAGTACACGGCTAGCATAGCTGGGAGCATCCTCTTCTCCAACCCTGTTCCTGTTCCATTGCACTCTAGGGAGCCTGCCATCAAATATGATTCTTCCTTGCTGTATTGCATTGAAAAGCACCTCGGCATCTCCCCGTTTGAAGAAGCTAATGGATGCCGCGGCGGTACTGCTGATTTCGTTGGGACCGTTGATTACAGTCGAACGAACCCTGCCCGTCTTGATGATTGCAGCAAGAAGCTTAGTGACAGTAATTGGCCCAGGTAGTCCAGTAATCCACAAACAGGTGTTCTTTTCTTCGGGAACATCAGTGCCTTTATTTGTGGACAAATTGCGATCTCCTCGGTAGTTTCCGTTAAATCTATTCGTCGTTCGGGAGGTGTTAGTAGCGCCTGTCAACTGCTCAGACGGCTCGAAGTATCGGTGCTCCAACTACAAAAACATTATTAAAATATTTTCTTCGAGGCGTTCCATAGAATATACATTGCAACCCTTATTGGTATAAAGACTAACAAAAGGGCAGTAACGCAGCTAAAGAAATAGGTATACGTACAGTAGGGATTGGCGTAGCCATTTTATCAAGTGTGATGGTGTTCGGGAAAATATCTTACACAAATTGATGCCTTTAATTTATAGGAGCGCCCTTCAAGCGAAATGGCACCCAAATTATTGCGCAAACCTAGAAATGGTTATGTTTGACGAGATATGCTTTGGCTGCTCATCGAGCTATTATCTGATTTTAGCCCCTTTCTAATTGGCCGCGAAGGAATAAATGTGTAGTTAAATGTATAGTAAAGAAAATTAGGAGAAAGATCGGTTAGTTATATAGGTATTCTATTGGGTGTCTTAATGAAGAAAGGTGAATAGCTATCTTGAGCAAGATGGGAAAGTCACCTAGCAACAAGATATGTAGGTAGTCACCAGAACAATTAAGGGGTCATGCGGATATGGTATCGCAAATATAATTTTAATGTATTGAATAGCAATATTCATCCGATATTCTTCAAATTTCCCTAGCCTGGTGTTGCAATATCCTACTAAATATACCGAGTTGGTACTTTCATCTATTCTTATAGCCAATGCTAAGTGACAAACTACTAATTTTGTATGAAATAGGGATAAGTTGTACAATTTTCCGGACAAAAATAAAATGAAGCGGGAGTCACGTCGGATTTAGCTTCTTCGCTCATATTACATACCTACTAGAAGTCTCAATCCATTTATATTCGTATTGCCTCACAGCATAGGATTTATCCCTGTAGCATTCCTATAACGAAACTATCTGCTCTATTCAATACATCAATGCTTGCATAGTAAAGTACTAGGATCATAATATTTACGCCTCAATCGAGCCAAAACGCTCCTATATAAAGTCTAAGTAGTATGTCAACTTATTTACAACTAAGCACCCCGACAATACTCTATATTACTAGCTGTACTTATAAGCCAGCTCCATCATATGAAATAGCCCTGCAGCATCGGCCTATGATACAAGATATTACCAGACGTAGGTCTCTACAATATAGGAATAACACTACGTCCTATTCTGTACCACCATTGTTTTTATAGCTGGGCAGCAATAACCCTTCGAAGGATATTAATCAAATCTCGTTTATTTTTAGAATTAACGTCATGAGTCACGAAAATTACAAGTTTTATTTTTTAATGCTATGACACTGCAGCAAGAACAGCTGGCAACGAGTGTATCATTTTTTCCTTATGAAAAGAGTACGAGACCTAGAAACTAACACTGTCATGACCTTTTTTCGTCCCAATCATCCGAGGTAACAACTTAGCACAAAAAGATACATGACTCCCACAACATCGATAACGTTGCTATCACAGTTACCATGCCATAGAAGAAATTCCAGATCATGGCCTTTTACTTACCATTAATGAGTATAACATATTACGTCATCTATTCCAACACAAACAATGTTTGGGTGACGATACAATATCTGAGGGGAACCACGCCTATTATTTACTATTCTTTACAAATTCTCAACCTACCTTAGTTACCCTAGGTATTCTAGGACAACCTTTCAAGACATCGGATTCATCATTACACCTAGTTCGAACCTAGGGGCTTTCTATTACTCTCTTTAAGTAGTTAACCATTCTACCCCAGCGTGAGAAATATCTCATACATGCCAATTTGAATTTGGCTACATTTTACCTAAAGAAAGTTCCTGAGAAGAGATCTTTGACGAGATCTTCGACATTTCCATTGCACAAGATCGCCCATGTTAAAAGGGGATATATACCTTATTGATTATTTTATTTTACGCATCCTTTATATCCTAGCAACAATCACACTCTGTTAATTACAATGGAGCTTCAGCACGACCATGATCGCATATTTAAAGTCCCTGTCAACACTCGGCTTCAAGAACCCTGGAGCAATACGATATATCGCATTGCTCCATTCCTTCAGTGCGTTGAAGAGTGCAATTCCAATTCTCAATATCACCCAGAACATCGCGCCAGCATTCAAGATTATGCGGGAGTTCACCTCAAACCTGAAGTGATGGACTATGTTAGAAAAACATTCCTTTCCTGGAGACAAATCCTAGTATCTCAGGTAACTTTGAACATCCGATATTACAATACCCAAATACAAGTATTAACCTTTCTATAGAGTCTTAAACAGAGAGGACTGTTCACGAATAAATACAGATCACCTACCAAAGTCGTCCACAGAAAACAAAACCACGGGGCTACTCAAATGCCAAGGAAAAAGACACTGGAGCTTCTTGACTTGCCGTGCGAAATTTTTGAGGAAATTTTCGAATATGTTGTAGGCTCTTATGAGTTAAGAGGACACCTCCTTAGGCTCTGTCGCCACACCTACAACATCCGCTATCGTCAAAATCTCTCAACACAGTTAATCCTCTATAAGCCCCGGGCCTGGGCCGAGTTGAAGGTTCTCCAAGTTTGTCGAGCGTTCCGGAATTTGGCCATATCGTACTACGGTTTTCCCCAGGAAAATAGCTTTCCTTTCAGTCCAATGTTAGATACCCTAGTCATTCAAGGCGAAGGCTTGGATTGCTTTGGTGAGGAAAGGACTTTCTCCGGTGTTTCCTGTTTTGCAAATCTCTCATTGCAGAATTGGACGAACGATAACCATTGGCTTTATTACGATGGGGTCTATAGATTCAACGAGAACATGTGTGATGTGAGACCGTGGAGCAAGGTCACAAAGATATCAAACGAATGTCTACGCAGACCGACCGAGATCACAATAGATGTTCACGACGGCAGCACATATAAATCGGACTGGAAAAATATCTGGCATTTCCTCGGCCGCATGTTCACCAATACAACGTGCCTGAGATTCAATATTAGCCGAGTAGATTGCTGCGCCCGTAGGGAGTCAATAGAGGCACAGGACCTGGGTATGGAGAAGAAGAAAAAGTACTATTTGGTTCATGACATAGGAATTGTTCATGAATTAGGCTTGGCAATAGAAGAATCTCCTCCAAACCGGCTTTTCCCCGAGTTGAAGACTCTAAAGCTAGTAAGGGTCGCGGACTATTGCACAGGCATATGGTCACCGAAAAACCGAAGAACTAGGCACCTGCTTGGGATAAATATGTCGTATGAAGACTAGCTGCGGTCGAGGACCGGTTAGGTTGATGAACACAGAATGGGAAAAAGAATGTAGTAATATAGTGGTCATAGTGGTCATAGTGGTTAATACAGCAATAGAGATAATTCAGATCTATCTTTACTAAATCAATTTCAATATATGAATGTGTATAAGCTTGAATAGGTAGTTTCGGTTAGATTTTGGTTAGAATACAGTGATATATGTAGAAAAGGGGCAATAACCTGATCCATAAAACATTAATTTATTTATGCATATTATGTATATGTCGGGCTGTGTATGTATATATAAGAGATATATGTATTTATGGGGTATCTGGACTAGGTATCTTTGATGCATAGGTACCTACCTGAACCTTAGGTACCTACCTAATTTATCTAGGTAGGTACTTCGTACTTCGTACCTAAACATCGCATTGCCTGGAATTCTGTATCCTTTTTCGCGTCGACCTTCCAACTACGTAACCAAGACTACCAAAAAAAAAAAATTTTCCATCATAAAATCCCACAAACATTTTCCAATCTCAATGGCAGACGAATCTACCTCTCCTCGCGCCCCACGAGGTGATTCACCCCCCTCTCGCAAACAGAGTAGAAGCGACGATCGAAGCCAATCACCACGTAGCCACCGCGACAGATTAGACAGAGATAACTACAGAAGAAGCGACAATTATCGATCGCGGGATGATGATAGGAATCGGGGTATAAGACATGAGCCTGGAAGAAACCGGAATGATGAGAACAAAGACGATCCCGACCGGTTAGGGCGAGACTTAGAAAGACGACGTGACAATCGCGGGGAGAGAGACTCGGATCGGAGAGATATAGATAGGAGTGAGGGCAGAGATCGAGACCGACCTAGACCAAAGAAGAGTTCTGGGGGTTTTAAGTTTAAGGATAAGCGTCGCGATGAGTTTGAAGACAGAGACGATGACCGACGTGGTGGCTCATTTAGAGGTTACCGAAACCGCTCACCATCCCCACGTCGCCGAGATCGAAATCGGGACCACGATCGTGAACGTGATACGGGGACATCTTCGTCTACGAAAAAGTCCAAGTCGAAATCTACCGGCGGAGACACCTCCCAGCCTCCTGTTCGAGCACCCGCAGCTCCCTCCGGCGGTGGTGAAGAAATGATCATCGTCCATATAAACGACCGACTGGGTACTAAGGCAGCTATCCCATGCTTTGCTTCGGATCGCATTAAGGAGTTCAAAATCATGGTCGCCGCGCGCATCGGTCGAGAGCCCCACGAGATTTTGCTCAAGAGACAAGGGCAGCGGCCTTTCAAAGACATGCTTACACTTGCCGACTATGAAATTAGCAACGGAGTCCAGCTCGATCTGGAAGTCGACACTGGTGATTAAGCAGGAGGATAAGGAGAAAGCTATACTACCTGTTACGGGTTTATAATAGGTCGTCGAGTGCAAGCACGGATACGTTTATGTTATCAACCCGCGATGTAATTAATGAGAGCTTGATACCTCAACACCTAGCAACCCAGATATCTACGAAGTACATAGGGTCCGTGCAGTATGAGGCCTTGCCTTTATTGCTACTATATTCTATAGTATCATAATCCAAGATCAAGTATGAGGTATATGTCCAAACCATGCTATCACGATTCTTAATTCCAACAAGATTCTCATATTTAACAGATGATTACACCATACTTTACCGTTAATGTCTACCCGCGCATCGGGATATTTCTCTTAAATTATGTAGGCGAGAATCCCCAGGAACTACTTCTCTCATACAAGATTAGGATTAATTCCTCTGGCCGCTCTGTAACCTCCAAAGTTGATCATGCTGCTCTCGGAGACGCCTATCCTGCTCTTGGATAAAGTGTTCCTTCTCGCTGAGCCTTTGAGTCAGTCCCCTCTTCTCATCACACCATTCTGCCCTTACGCACATCTCGACATCCTCTTTCCAATCTACAGAGGTGTTAGAATATTACTGTCTAGGCACATCTCACTGTCTACATCTCAGGGGGGCAACTTACGGTCGTAACATTTGTTCTCCAAGCACGCCTTGGCTTCGACTTTACAGTCGCACCGTGAGCAAGCATCTGGTAAAAATAGCCAGTCAGTGATATAGTCACGTTCAGCAGACAAATCCTTCTTACGAGTGTCGCAAAATATCCCCGTACAATTAACGCAATCTGGGCAACCCTCACTCCGGCAGGAATCTGGCCGGATAATTAGTTATGGTAGTACATAGAATGACTGAAGGAAGTAGAGGGGATACTTACGGAGCGGACAATAGTGTTCTCCTGACTTCGCATATTCACATTCCTCTTCCCATTCGCATCGATCTAGTAACAATTCCTGTCAATCTCTCATTTCCCCGCGAAGCAAAACAGACATATGCTTACGATCATCACAATAGTCATGTTCTCCGGACGAAATATTACACCCCCTTTCGCGACATGCATGTTCCATACAGTGAAATGAACCTTCTACCTTCTGCAGTACACATCCAGGAGTCTGACATTGAAGGTCTAATCCCTGTAAGCATTGCCACAAGGAAGAAGTCATGATGAGGTGGTTTGCTTACGCTCTCTACAATATTTCCTGTTCCTTTCTTTGGGCCGGTTGCAGATCGGCGGCCCCCATTCACATCTATTGTCTAGACAATCGAGTTAATCAAGAACCTTAGTTTCATACAGAAACACAAGACCTACGTGCTAGGCAAAATGGAAATGGGGGAGCAGCTATATGCATGCAATCCCGAATCTGACACTTATCTATCCAACAGGTTAAGAGCTGAGGTTCGTTTAATTAGGTATATCATATATCTCACTTACGCCCTCGGCAACATGTAGTGCCTTCCAGAGTCTGGTTAGGACAATCAGCCGCACGACAGTTATCTTTAAATCTGCTTTAGCATGTCTTGTGAATCTTATTGAGGGTTACAGCTCACGATCATCACAGAACGGGCGGTATTGGTTTGGTGCCAGCATAGGGGCGCGCTGGTTAGGACACTCCGTTGCAGTACACTTGTCTATTAACAATCAGCATCAACGACTTCTTTATAATCTTTATAAAGAGTCTTACGATCGAAGCAGTACTTCCGACGCTTGTATTGTGGTGTCCCAGCTCGGCCTCGATCGTAGTACTGCATCCTCCCATTCATACAACCTACTGTTATACATTCTATGTCTATATACCAGTCAGATATGTATTTACCATCGAGGGGCATATTTCACTCACGTTGAGAACAGACCGAATCTTCCGGCTGCTTGTAATTCTGGCAGCGCTCTGCGTCGAACAGTGGCTCCCAGAAGTGTTCGCATGTGTCTTGAATCATCGTAAGTCAATAGAACTTTTTGACATATCCTTCATTAAATATGACATAAAGGCTACTTACGTTTTTTGCAATGCTTGGAGGAGACTTGGTCCCTTCGCTCCACTTCTGCCTTGCAACATGGTGCATCGCATACCTTTTTTGCATGGCACGTAGTTGTTGATCTTATAAAACAAGGCATCGACTTACATGGCGTCGATTTAGAAGGAGTCGGTTTAGCATGACACCCTGACGGTTTACATCCCGCCGGCTTCGTACGGCATCCCAGCATGTCGAAACACAACTGGTGCTTATCAAACAAACAGAGGACCTAAGAGCGGTATCTTATTATCTTTCTAATTTCTGAGCCCCTTTAAGGAAGGCCCTTTTTTTAGAATACATCGCTATCTTATCTATCTGCTCGATAATTTCGGTGAAGATTTACTTGCATCTTGGGGTACTCCATACTCACGTCGATGGCGGTGAAAAGTGCATGTTTTGCTGACGTGTTTAAGCAGCTACTTCTTATAAAGCGGAGGAGGCTGAGTTGATATTGGGTTTATAATGTAGCACCACAGCTGCATTACATGCATGCTTTTGCATAGGCCATCGGTTGTGGTCCCTCCTATCACCATTCCCGCTGCCGCTGGCCCCCGATTCGCCGTTCACAAGTCTTCTACCATCTCGATTATTATAAGCAATACAACTTGAAAATAGCATTAATAAACGTATGAGTAATATTACTACGCTGCGCACATAGAGCCTTCGAGTTCAAACATGATAATTCGTTCAGTCGCTTTCCAATTCTCGGCAGAAGTATTTGTTTAAATACCGAGGTTACCACTGCTTTTGGAGTCTCAACATATATATATATATATCTTGTGGTATGTACTCGCCAGATAACGTCTTACTCAAGCCACAAATATCACCTCATACCAAATATGGGTTCTTGCAGTTTGCCCATTCTTATTACCTTAAAAGGTTCCCCAAACCGCGCTATTTAAACATATTTACACGCCGAAGATCCGGGGTGGTTATGCGCGTCCGGAAATTAACATAAGGTTGGGTATATCTTCTTCGGAGTAAGCATCCAAAGTAAGGAGGTCCAGTAGTAGAGCAATGTGGTTATAGGCTTAGTTCAAACCCCAAGGCAGCCCATACGCCCGTGGTGTCAATACTTCAGCCACTCCAGCCTTTCAGCTCTCAGCAAAAGCCTCCCTCTTACAGGGTATGGATCAGCTATAGCTGTAGCAGTCGCTGCGGTTGGTTAACACCCCAAACGATATAACCACTAGCACTATCTGATATCATGAATATAATGTCCATTGTTACCCTAGCCCTGTTTCCTATGGCATAAGCTCGTAATTAGACCAATGAGCCACTCAGGCTCAGGCTAAATCAACAGAAGCCTAGATGTCCACCTCCAACAAATAACCCTTTATACTGCGCTCGTACGCAAGAATTCAATTTAAGCATTTAACAAACCAAATCAACTCACAAAGTAAAACAAGTACTAACAAGGCCACCAGAGACTCTCAAAAACGATCAAAGACAATGATAAAATCCACTGTCGTAACTCGGAGAGTTGTATTAAAATAGGAATACATTCGGTACGTTATTGTTCTACATAGGGCGTATTTTTGAAGTTACGGTGGAATCTAAACAATAGAATTTGTCAATATAGATAAACAGGGGTTTTAAACTCTTCTTTTTAGAGACGTATTTAAAATTATAAACGACTAGCTCTACTAGTTCTTAAAGTGATGTATAAGTACCTACAAACACTTATTTGGAAATTCAATGTCTACCTAAGTAGATATATCCCGCATAGCTGAGCCGATTACTATATTAGGTAGGGTGAAGTCGGTTAGTAACCATATTCAATCCTCCCAACAGTGATCAGCAACAAGTTCAAGACGTATCCCGCCTATATTGCGTCTTCTATACATATATATGTACCTTAGGTTGGTACTAATGATAGAGTTAACCTCCGGCTCTAAGCTTAGATTAAACGAACATATACTTATCATTAAGTTGTTTTCCTGGGTACCTAGATAGGTAACTATTTCTACAATACCAACATTAGTAATTAGTAACTTTCTCATATTAAGTATTCAAACGCCCTAAACTGCGTTACTGTTTGCTATTGTTTCTATTCGGGTATAAATCATCCCTTTGTTGTTTAAATTCTTTTCATGTTCAGCGATTCGTGTACTCATATTGTTTTTCTTTTTGAAAGCATATGTACCTGAACAGTTCCTGTAACTTGATAAACATCATGATCCTTTAATTCAATACCAAGTATAATATAATATGCTTCCCAACTTCCACTAGACATACGTAACTTCAATCTAATCTTTTAGGGAAGCCATCCGTTATATTCTAATTCTCCAACATAGGATATAATTAATCACCCATTCTATAGCACGATGTCCCCTAGTTCCCCCGAATATTCTCCCAGCCGTCCTACCAGATCACCTACGCTTTCGGGTGATGTTATTTTCCGTATAGTCAGGAACAACTTTTACGAAACGAAGATTATAAGTAGCTTATCAAAAACATGTCGCCTTTATTGTGGGGCTCTGGATTCATTGCTCTATAGAGCTGACGTACTTATGGTTCGAAAAAGAGTCCTTGGTATTAGGGATTGGACCAGTGATAGGCTCTCTAGCCCTATCTCTATAGAAGCTACCAAACGTTGTGACTCGCATATGTCAGCTCTTCACTGGGCTGTCAAAGCCAATGGCAGTGTTGGTATGATGGTAGCTCAGAAGTCCATCAAGGCAGCGTTGGCATATTGGCCAGAGTACCTCCACATTCACAATTGGAGAGTGGAAAAAATGACACCGCTTCAATTAGCAGCTAGATGTGGTGTGGACGAGATTGTTCAGGAACTGGTACAGGCCTGTACTCTGGTTGATAAGCCGATCATGTTTCATGCTTACGAAGGCCCCTACAGAGACCTTCAATTATCTGAATTTTTGCCATGTGACTATTTTATGGTTACTTCACTCCATATCGCTATGCTATATGGACATGTGCATATCGCCGAAACCCTAGCTCGTACGCAAAATCTTGACGCTCCCGAGGAGACTCCGGGTACGTGTACGTTATCGCTACTAAATTTGGCTGCCGTATGCAAAATGCCATCTGTCATTAAAATACTGCAAACTCGAGGTTACCAAGTTCCGAGAGACTTACGTGGCATGAGAGATACACCCATGCATTTTGCTGCCAGTAACGAGGGCAACGAAGAGACACTTGGGTTATTGCTTAGTACTGGTTATAGCGTCAATGATGTCGACAATAATAATCGTTGTCCTATTAGGATCGCAATTGAGTTTCGTTGCCTGTCTAACGCTTTATTCCTAACCAAGGATTTCTCCGCCGAAGAAAAACTGAATATTGCTGACATGTATTTTAATAAACTGATACAGACAGATGTTTTTCTACCACTCGTTAAATTCCTATTGGAGCATACTAGCATCAGGCGAAAACAGGCTCGTCGCTACAAATACCTTATATTAAAGCACTCCAATAACCCAGGACGACGTAGAAATATGCCAAAGATGCTTGATTTCTTAATCCATCATCCAAATATTAACTTCTCGAAGAATACGCACGCGGATCTTGTCGCCAAGATAGCCGAAACTAGGAAAGAACTTGCTGTTCAACAAGAGAGGTACTCCCGTTTTATGGAACAGCGAATCCAACGAGCCAAGTCAAATCAAATAACCGTATATATTGCCAGATTATATGATTATAGAAGATATGGTTATTTCTAGGTAGCCCCCACATACAAATCAATCAACAGTATAACAACAGACATCACGATAGCCTCATTTTGGATTGTGATTGTTGTTGACGGCGTACGGTGTACACCACCATTTAATGATGACCTTGTCATCCCAACAATATTTGGCCTGATTAATTCAAGTTAAATATGTTGTAAATCGAGGCTTACCTAGCTATATCATAGATTTAACCTAAAGCACTTATAGTCTTCGACCACCAAAAATATCATCGTGGTTTCAAAAACACGATTGTCGCCAGGTTTAGTATATATAAGATTAAGATGTTACGCGTAGTAACGTAATAGATGCATTTTTTATCGTCGGTATTAAATTACGTGTTTATTAGGTATTACGCGTTATTTTATTTATATTAAATCGTATTATTTTAACGTTATTATAATTATGCGCTACTACCTACCTAGGTTAACTACCTAATCTTATCGAATCAGGGACATCTATAACCCCTAAGGAGTCTAATCATCATGTGACTTGGCGTCGCGTCTTTATAATGTCATAATGTCAGACGAGGGGCAGACGCGCCCTTTTAGTGACATCGCGTAATGAGTCACTTTCTAGTAGGCGTACCTTACAGTAAATATCTTAGCATCCTAAATTTTAATAAATTGAAACTGGTACTATAAATTAAATAGTATCCTCGACTACTACTACTACTACTATCTTCAAACCCAATCTACTGACAATATCAACGATTGAGAAAGTATTATGGCCGTGGGCGTAAAGCGGAAGCGCACTGGCGAAACTGTAGACGCCACTATATTTCTACCGCAAAAGATAGCGAAGCCTATCTCTAATAACGTTGCGCTTAAAGAATCTACTTCTGTCCCCGAAGATATGGAGCCCCAATTACGACGAATTACAGAATCAGACCGTACGCCCTTCGAGAAGAAAGTGGTGAGTCTTTGGGATATCCTAGGCCAATATCTTCTCTTCTCTTCTCTTCGTTTTGTCCTTCAAGCGTTATATTATATAGACTACCTACCTATGTTAAGAGAGCTGAGATATGATATGAAATACGAAAGCTCGCTAACATCTATACTCTCTAATGTAGTGGAGCCTTCTATGTCAAATACCCCGTGGTCATGTATCAACGTATGCCCTGCTCGCGGCACATCTGGGGTCGTCCCCACGAGCCGTAGGGAACGCGCTGCGGCGGAACCCATTTGCACCCGAAGTGCCATGCCACCGAGTAGTGGCGACGGGAGGTGCCTTAGGTGGGTTTAAGGGAAAGTGGCCTAAGGATGGCGAAGGCATCACTCTCGACGAGAAGCGGAAGCTTCTTCGTGGGGAGGGTATAAAACTAGACGACAAGGGCAAGGTACTCGGCACGCCATGGGCAGCATTTAATTAAGTAAATAAAGAACATATATGGGGGACTTTTAAGCGACTAGTATAGCGAAGATGCTGGAAGTGTGCGACCCAACTATTACCACGTGGTCTTAGATCGGATGAAAGCAGCTTTATGAATGGTGACATAAACTGTTTGGTGGATGATAAGATATATCCAATGTAACTAAGACGTGAGCAGATTTTTATACAACGGAATATTTTTGTGTGTTCTAAGTGAATCTCCTTTTCTCTCTCATCTTCCGATGTGTTGCGGTAGAATGCTGTGAAAAATGTTTCCTACAGGCTTAAAATATATTGTTATCCCGCGAATACCAGTGATGGGAAATATTTTCAATCCACTCGCAAAAAAGTTTATTGAGGAAGTAACTACAAGATTCATTACGAAAGTCTTTGAACAACTTCCGCCAATACCTTTCTTAGCAATGCGTTCATACAGAAACAATAGATACATGATGCCAAACCTCAATACTACAAACACCCCACGTCGCCAGCAGTTGATACGAAGGTCGCGTAGTGTCGGCTCAGCACCTCTACAGCCCGAATCTGAATTCGAAGCGAATACAACAAACGCCTCCGATGAAAAGGAAGAGGACGCATATACCCGAGAGCCTAATACGCCGCCGATTATAATGCGAGGAGTCACTAGCTATAGGAACGTGAACATCATGCCTCAAAGTATTGTGCAAGGAGTTGGGTACAATGTGCTCTACCAGGAAGGCTCGTCACCTAGCATCCTAAGTCTTGTATTTGTTGGTTCCATTCTGTCTGCGCTTGGCTTCCTCTTATTCAAACTGCTGGAATCACGAGGATGCTCCTAAGTCATCACGGAGGATACCAGTACGCACGTAAAGCTGGGTTGAGGCAGGAGATGGAGAGGAATTATGAATGCAGTTGTGTACCTGCCTATGCATTGAGCCTACAATTTTCTGCGTTTGTGTTAAAACCGACTATACTATGGCAAACCAAAACGGAAGCGATAAAAAGAAATTCGGGGATGGAATAGCAAGGCATTAGGACTGATAGGAAGGACCTTGATACTAGATAGGAATGGGTACCTAAAAGGTGATTATGAAGTTAGTTCGGATTAGTGCAAAATTACGATGATTTAAGAGTCCCTTCATGTGTTTCTCCAGATTCAAGAACTCGTAGAATGTAAGCTCCCTAAGGTATATTGACGATAGGGATACAGAATTCCTGACTTACGAGTCTACTAAGGTTAGTGATCTGAATATATTTCGTAGCGAGTAAGACTTTCTAGAGAAATCTTTATTAGGTGCTCAAGGAAATTGAGCTTGTATTAATACCACGTAGTTAGAAGTAACGAAACAGCGACTATTAGCACATGAAGAAGTAAAACACGTAATGCAAATGGTTCGTATTAGAAATCATCGCAGGTTTCATGGAGCAATATTTCACAGCCACAAGCGAGCGCCACCGGACGCCTACATCAAGAGTGCTGCCGCACTGACCTCCCTGACCTCCCTGGCCCCCCTCCTCTCCTCAATCCCTCAATCAGAGGGGGTTGTCATCCGTGAAACCTAATAATTATACACGGGAATAGCTGCGCGTCTCGTGCGCGTCAACTTAAAATCATCAACTAATTAGGTTTCTTTTCCCTCCGTGACGCCATCCTCGTAAAAAGAAATGCCGAAAACTTATAGTCCTCGTTAGAAAAAAAGAAAAAAAAGGTTGTTTCATATGCACCTGGGCATGTTTGATCTTGCATCATTAATGCTCCTTGGAAATAGAAGTTTGGTATCGGGGTTGACTCTAAGCAATGCGGAAAAACTATGTGTCGTAAACGTGAAGGACAACTCCGAAAGCAGAAAGTAGAATGCTATGTGCATATAGAAAGACGAACTCGGCGAAGGCGACGAGTTTTGATTAGAATCTATGCATCGGCCAGCCACGCCGGGAAAATGCCGTAAGAGATGAGTCTAGAAAAAAGAGGGTTTCGTAAGAACGCGGTATTCGACATAGTCTTCGCCGTCGATATTGATGATAGTTCCTTGGCTGACAAGCCTGTCTTTGAATGGTCCGTTCTGTTTTCGTTCATACTTGATGCCTTGGTGCATCATGACATCTCCATTACCGTGGCGACTAGCCGGTCTCATTCTCATATTCTCTTGAGCCTCCCAAACTTGGTTCATCTTGAGAATATTCTCGTCGAAGTCGCGCCGGTTATCATGCGCGTTCATCAAGGCTCCGGGATTTACCACAGAGTTGCGGTTGGCCTGGTGGCGATCGGTACGCATCTGCACCGCTTCCATTCTCGCAACTTCGCGGTTAGCATAACCCTGAACGCGCTCAATAGGATCATTACTAGTATTACGACTAGCCTGTCTAATCTCCACTTCCGGGTGAGAATGTCGCATTGTTTGGGCTGACTCGATGTTTCGGGACGCAACTTCACGTCGGGGCTGTCTCGATTCGTGACCGTCACGAACATCCTCACGGCTGAGACCGGACGAAGGGCTAGGCCCTGCATGTCCCTGATTAGGCGCACGGATAGGACTGGCTGCTGAAATCGCTGCTGCTCGTAGTTGAGCCTCATGAACTGCTTTAGTCTCATTCGCAACTTGCTCCTCCCTTTTTTCCCCGGCATCAATCTGAGCCTGGCGAATGCGGACATATTCCTTGACCTCCGGTCTGGTAAGTTGCTTTAGATGACTGACAAAAAGGACCTCGTCGTATGAAATCCATAACGCGCCTGCTCCACTAGGGAAGTTGTCGTCTGTATAACGACCATCCATTGTCTCGCGGACGAGTTTCACACGGAACATATCATTGGCACCCAAGATACCATAGACCGCAAGCTTATCCTCATCTTTCTGCGCAGTTGACTTGGCCCAGCAACCAACAAGTATGCGGGTTGGTTTTCGGGGCGATTGGGGAATATCCGGTTGATTGTGAGGAATAATAGGAAGACGTTCGGAACGCTCAACAAGTTCGACATTATCGGCCTGCTCAGCTTGTTCGATACGATCGGCGCGCTCGGCGATAGTGCCAACACTACTACCATAACGACGGCGCTTTGTCTCAGGGCGAGAAACCTGTGTTTGCTCGGGTACATCTAAGCCCCATGCTATAGAAGGAGGTTGGGGGGTCTCAGGCGGGGGGTTGAGTTCTAGGCGGCGCAGGGCTTCTGCTATTGCGGCCTGATCGGCTTCCTTGGAGCGGTCGTGAAGCGTCTCAGCTCGGACTTTGACATACTCCTTGATCACGTTATGATCTCTTCCGATAAGATGGTCCAAGAATACGGTGCCTGGAAAAGTAATCCAGCTACCACCAGGACCAGAAGGGATAGGGAATATTCGAAGGTTAATAAGGTCACCGTTTAGCGCCTTGGGCCTGATCCGTGTTCGTAGGCGATCGCGCACATCGATAAACCCGACCACCATATGCTTTCCTTCTATTTGAGGGACTGGGGAAGAACGCCAATAACCAACAGGTACGTGCTTGCTGTCCTCGTCAAATTTTTGTCGTGGTTTCCCTTTAGCTAAACCCTCATCGACATCATCTGCATCTTTGACCTGGCTATTTTCTAATTCTTCGTCGCCAAGGTTGTTGTAAAGTGATGCGCGTTTGCGCTTCGGGTAATGTGGAACAGGCTCATCGTCCTCCTCGACGTCAGGCATATCGATGTCTCCTCGCTCGGAAGCGACTCGACGTACAGGTGATTTGTTCCCGTTAGCGCGTGTACCAACAACAATCTCGTCGCCTAGCATATCGGGGTTAACACTAGATACTGAGCTGCTCTCAGGAGGCGAGCTTAGTTCAGCGTCATGAACTGCAGCTTCAGTCGCATCGGCGGCAGGGACAGTTTCTTCCGAAGGTGCAGGCTGCTTAGGATGGACAGGAACAGCACGTCTTCGGGATATGTTAGCATATACTTGTCCAGGAAGTGGACTGAGAAAGAATATGTATGGTTGATAAATTAATATCGTGACAGGATGAGGTGGGTGGGGCAAGGGTTACCAGTCAAAGTATTCGAATGCGGCTCAACTTGGGTTACGACTGATAAGTTGCGGCGAAGGGAAGCCACGATGCAGCTAATATAGGTACTAAACCCGTGAAAAGAGCGAACAAGCTTTTTCGAAGAGATTGACTCGAGTTGCGAAGAGGGATGTAACGATGCGAATATTAAGGGAATACTAAGGGGATAAGGTAGAACGTCGTGATAATAGATATTGAAAGTCAAGTAAAAGAAGGTAAATAAATATGTAGACACAAGATAGAAATTGCATACTTACTTTTCGTCAACAGTAGGTTCTACTGTCTCTCTCTCTTTCTCCTCGGTACGAGTAGGGGATATCGATCTCTTATTCTCCTCTTCCATGGTTGACGAATCTTGTAAATTTAAAAGTGCTATGATGAAAACTAGCAATGGTGCAGCTGACAATGACGGCGATTGTAAATAAATAAATATCTACAATATTGTTAATGAATAATCCAGCTGGAAGGGACTCGGTCATTGTCACGAGTATAATTGTAAGCACAGTACAAGAAAGACCCAATTTTGCTTGGGAAGAAATTTTTACAGAAATGGCATGACACAGTATGTCGCTTCAGTTGGCAGTCAGTCACAGTCCTGCTCTTATTCATTGAGCAGGAAACCACTTGACAATGACAAAGTACTTGATTGCTTATAATCGAGGCCCACTGTGTTATTCCAAGTGTTGGAAACAAGAAAAAGCGGGACTCACTAGGTATGCGCAAGTATCTCCAAAAGAGGAGAGTAAAGACTCAAGGAAGCCTTATGCTCGAAACAAAACTCGTTGACTAATTCGTTGCCTATTCCCCACCTGGCGGGCGAGTTTGTGGAGATTGTAGCTAAACTACTTTGTGTATAAGCTGTGCGGGATAAGATAGCCTTGAAGTCAAAGAGCGGAGGTAGCAGAGACTAATCTAATCCTAGGCATAGAGTTAGTAAAATAAAAAATAAAAAGACCAGCGTGGTGTGTTTCTAGATAAGGTCCAAGTGCGACCAACAGACTAATGAGGGACTTCGAGTGGAAAATAGAAATATGTTGAAGCCTAACAACCTTTTTTTTTTTTTTTAACTGTCACGTAGCAACAAATCTGAAATAAAATTAATTGACGACACTTGTCGAGTTGCCGAGACCGTACGGTCCAATTGGCGCGCGAATTATGATGGACGGAAAAGGGCATACGCGGCGGAGAAAAGAGAACGAGTAGTTTTGCAGGACTTACCGAAACAAGGTTTTGGAATATGGCGAGTTGCGGAAATGAGAGTTGGCAATACCGGGGAGAGAAGAAAATTAGGCACCTAGTTATTCAACCCAAAGAGAAGGGGGAAAGATAATAACAAGCCTGCGTGGATTGGGTCGTCTCTCCGGCACAAGGTAAAATTAGTTAAGAAAGAAAAAAAAAAGTTGAGGGTGGAAAAAGGTTAAAGGTGGGAATGGATATCGTGTGAGAAGTATCCGGCAAAAGTAAGCGTTTGTAAATCAAAGTTGTCTGACCCAAGGGAAACCCGAGCAGGGGGGGTTAATATTGTGCAATACAGGCTCTCTTAAACTAAGGCCCGACTAGGGGTAGAACAAGTCAGAGATTTGATTAAGCTGATTGGTGATGTGCTAATACAGCCCACTTGCCAACCTTAGCTAATTAATAGTGCGCTATCGATAGAAGTTAGAAGTCCAATAAATGTCGTGCTCGTACAGAGCCACGTACAAGATTTTTTTTTTAAAAAAATTAAAAATTAAAAAAATACTAACCTAAGTTAATCAGTTAATATATACGAAATAAGTACATTTATTCAAGACTACCTAATGCTTGATACCTGCTTGCGACGCCCCAAGAGCCCCAAGAGGAAGAATATACGAGCTGACACTATTATTACTATTCACTATACATGACTGCTATCACTCAAGCTGTGTGACCTGGGCATTTATATAATGCTACGCACAAATGCATCGCCTATCTAGATTGTAACCTAACCTCTTTCCTCTTTACCTGTTCTGTTAAATATGTTGTCAGCTAAAGGCAGGCTTCTATGGTCGTATACCAAAGGAGCGTGTGGCTGGCTGGATTAGAGTCGCTTCGCATTGTGTAACATGCACTTTGTATGAGTAGAATTATCAATCCTACCTCTCAATCCTCCTTCACCGACAAATTTAAATCCATCGTATCGGGAATAAGCAAAGAAAGTTGATAAAACTATCAAGTTTCTATTTGATTCTCATTCGAGATCGTTCATGTAAATAAACTTGCTACTTATTCGTTTTAGGTGAATGAGTTGATGATATGAGGTAGGGAGGGATAGAATTGGGTAAGAGTATTAGATAAGGCTTAACAACAACTAACGACTTTACATGCGCAGGAGTGCGAAGTTCGCGTTTGTTTATCTATATCGCAAGTTAAAAAGCGTTAAACGGGAAGGACGTTATTCTTGGCTACGACATATCTTCCTTCAAAGATGGATTAGAAGGTAGATATGCAGGTACCTATTAAAGCCTCTAAGTACAAGAGACATAGGTAGAAACATTGGCTACATTGGCTACATTGTGACGTTGACATTTTGAATAGCATACTGTGGCGCTAGGGAATCCTATTAATAACTCTTAGCCATCACTAAAGATGATATTTAACAGTTGCTATTTACCGCATGTATTCTAATTGAATGCTAGGTGCGGACTAAAGGGTCAATCTGTCTTGTACTTGTATACTAAATAGCCTAGCCCGTGGATATAGGTAATTACTGATCATTGGAGACAAGAATAGGTAGGCAGGTTAAGATGCCATGCCGCGCTTATCTTCCAACATGGCATGCCTGCGCGAAAAAAAAAAAAAAAAAAAAAAGAAAAAAAAGGTAACATGGGTCAGCACCAACCAGCTTCGAGCAATAGTAGTAGACATTTCTAATAATTATAGCGTTGCTATCCATTTAGCCCCAACCGGAACTATTAGCATTGATATTGAGCAGTATGCAATCGGCCCCATGATGCTGCTGCTATGATACATACCTAACATAGGTAAATATATATGATACCTACCTCATGATACTACTAAGTTAAGTAGATACTAGATATAACAATTTCGATCGCCGGGTTGCGCATCTACCCGATCATCAATTTCCCAGTCTCGAGTTAAACACTGGTGGGGATGCCATAGAAAGTTTGAAATTCGGCGCATGATACTCTCAATACGCATGGAGGCCAGGATGCAACGTGGACACAGTTATGTATCGTACCTACTGTAGGTAGGTAAGGTATTAATGCTGCATGTCTAAACTAGATTATATATCTCTCAGTAATCGACGGACCTGATAGGGTATGATGATGCACCAATCTTACGCCATCATGTCATCACTTAATCCTCTGCTGATAAACATTACGTGCCCGTGCGACAAGACTGGTTGATTCGACTCGAGTGAATAAGTCAATCGAGCGGCGTAATAGAAATGACTCTATGTCGGTCTGACCGAAGGGGGAACACAAGGTGCCTCCAGCAGGTAATAATAAAACTCAATACCCCTCTCAAACTGCCTAAAAAGCTATTCCGCAATTCTAATTGTCATGTTTATGCTTTATCCTTTATGCTTTACGCTCGCTCGCCAGACTCAGACTTTGAAGTTTCACACTAGTAACTCAGAGATGACAACAATAACACGATGAACATAATTCAGATACCAAGGTGTTAGGTTCGATTATGGTTGAATCATGAACGTCAACTCATTTATTATGTATGAGAAGTGTTGCACTGGGTTGATTGGGGTGTAGAAAGGCAATTCAATAGAAGCAGGGGCCAAGACTTTCTCTTTACGAGTACCTAACCCCTGCCTGTAAGTCCCGGGTGAACTCGATAAGGTACATGTATTTTATTTCCGCAATCATGTGATAATGCTATATAAATCTGACAACTCTTCTAACTGTTACGTCACGTGTATCTATCTATCTATCTATCTATCTTATTATTACACTTGTGATAAATAGTGACGAAGACAAAAGTGACAAGTTACCTATTTAGGGTTATAGCCAAACAAATCCATTTACATATTAACGGGATAAAACAAACAAACAAACAAACAAACGACGAAGAAGAGCGACATAAAAAATATTTTTTTAAAAGAAGAAAAATTTCCAATCTTAATTCTGTCGATACCATCGTAACACAAAGACTCTATTGTGGAACTTTCGTCGCCTCGTGTTCCAACTGGTAAGACAGAATATGTACATATCTGCCGACACCAACTGTATTACAACAAGCCAACCCATAAACTTGCAACAATCTGATTATCCAGTTTCTTATAAGTAGTTTCGCATCATGTGGCCATAATCAATACATATTAGTGATACGATTGCAGCTGTGTTACAGTGCGACTAGAAGAACATGCTTTAAGAGTCCGAGGTCGTTTTCTCTTTAGATGCACCACATTTCCCCCCCTCCCACCGTAAGAATATCACACACGGATCTAAAGTTCATTTCGGGTAGGTAGTTAAGTACATAGGTCCAATTATATGACTATCGCACTACTGATGGCTAGTGTTGGTTTGGTAACATCATATCGAGATGATAGACAAGGATGTTATTCAGGGCCGTTCATTCTTTAGAAAATGAATATTTTCATGGCATCTGGCATCTGATAGTAGTAGTGATATATTAGGCTAGGTAGATAGGTTTTGCTAGCTGATCATTATCACCATACACAACAGGTCCAGATACGAGAAGTGGAAATTACATATCATCATATATTCAAGGTGACTAATCGTTAAACACCAAGAAATTCGACGCAAACAAATACAAATGATGATTTACATTCTCATAATATTAAAAAATTGTGTATCTATTTACCTTGTTGATTGAATGGGATACTTACATGCTCATCCAATCAATTCAACAAGTGAGATGATGTCAATGTCGCGTCCCAGGTATCGGCGAGAACATCACTTCTCGACGGCCAGTAATCATACCTTCAAGAAGTTTAATCACCTATAACTAACCTTAGACATAAACTCATCCACCTCGTCCTCTCCCCCTCCCACTACCTCGTCCACCTCTCCCGCCTCTGCCGCCTCTCTTCCCCTTAGCCCCCCTGCCCCCACCAACTTTTTCGTACAACTTTTCCTCTCCGAACGCCATCTCGCCAAACCGGACGTAGCTAATGAGCCCGCGATCCACGACCGCAATAATCGCATTGCGCCACGCGTGCTTAAGACGGCGATACATGGCCCCCGCTCCTACTCCATCCTTGCCGTCTTTCAGCTCGGGCGGATCCCACGGTGTGCAGTGCTCGAGTAGTGCCGTAAGTTGCCCGAGGGTTGGTATGGACGAGCTGCGCGCTTCTGCGACTGCGATTCGGAAGTCGGGGGATGGGGGCTTGGTTTTGGGGAACGCGGTGCTACTCTTCCACACATGGAAGTGGATCCGGAACGGCTCTTCTGGCGCTGGGGTGGAAGCTCGGAGACTGGGGGTAGGTGTGTGTCGCGGGAGGAGGGCGAGCTGTGTGAAGATCGGATTGTAGGAACGGTAGAGACCTGGCTTGACGAGTGGTCCGTAGGATGGTGTGTGCGTTTGCGATGATACGGGGAATAAAGAGAATAACCACCGCCATAGAGCCTGGGATGAGGATTTAGCGGAGACTGGCGGTGGTAACGATATTGCAGTTGCTCTCATGATTTTATATCCGGTTCTCCGGAGGTTAGCGTAGACCTGGTACTTCTCGAGGCTAACCTTGCCTCGCTCTCCATCCTGACCGATAAGGAGTGCGTATGCTGCCTGGAAACTAAGTGGTATTCCGAGCTCGTAGTCTTCAAGTTGTTTATCAAGTTCATCGTCGTTCTCAATCGTTCCGTCATGCTTTACTGGGAGGATATCTTCGATACCTCGTGCCGGCCACCAGAGATCCAACGAACCACGTTCGACTAGATATAAAGCCTCCTCCGGTAATAACCACGTCTTAAGCCACCCCGGCGTCTGCTTATACCCTTCGAGACCGGTGACAACTCGACCAGTGTTCTGGCCAAGGGGTCCCTTTATCTCATTCTCCACGACCACCACACGCTCCCTAGCAAACAACCCCGCGCCCTTCTCGCCCTCCGTTTCCTCCGCGGGAGGCACATCAACCCATTTATCCGGGAAGTACCAGGCGCGAGTGTGGTCCTTGGGCTTGTGAGAGCGGGTGTAGCTCAAAACCTCGTGCATAGCACCGCGGCTGGCATCCAAGGCGCCCTGTTGCGCACGAGTGCCATGCGACTCGAAATCCTTCTCGCCGCGACGTAACGTCTTACCTCCGGCCTGCTTCTTATCGAAGAGCGAGGCGAATAGCCGGAAATCTTGCATCTCATCCGCAAGGGCATCTTCAAGCGACGGCGCCTCATCTGCTCCTTGATCCCCGGTAGTGGCTGGTAAAGCCGACAGGGTGGGATCTTCGTCGTCAAATGCCATTATGCTTGAGATTTGGGGGGAAGTGGGAAGTGGGAGGTGGAAAGTGGTGACTCGGACCCCGGTAGAGTTAGAATCTTTATGATAGTACAATACAATCAGTGAAGGTTATCACATGTAAAGCTTAGAATATTATTGCTTAAATAAATTTCCTTCTCTTGAAAAGAATTGTTTCCGGTAAAAAAAGAGTAAATGCTGCATGACTCTCATTAAATGTATTCAATATGCCATTAAAACCGAGGAATGTTAATATATTCTTCTTTTATCTGAGCTAGATGTTTACCTTGTGCCTGCGTAGAAGAATCTTAGCTTAATATTATCTTCCTAGCTTAGGACCCACTAAGCCCAAGCCAGTTTACTTAGGCTGTCCAATCAGCTTAAGTTTTTCTCTTTCACCACTGTGAAATTTTTGACGGTGAGGTACTTTGCGATATATACTAAAGCACCAGCCTAATCCTTCAACAAATGGGAGTTTGGCCGAGTGGTTAAGGCGTCGTGTTTAGGTCTTCCACAAGAAAACCGTATAACCCGCGATGGGAAACCGCGCAGGTTCGAATCCTGCAGCTCTCAAAACAATTTACTTTTTGCCGAATTCTCAACTCATTTATTAACGAAGTTCTGTTCTTTTTCTTCTGTCCCTTTCTTTAGAAATTAATGTCATTTATTAGTCTCTGTAAGGTGTTCATGCATTTTTATATTTTTTACACTTTGACTAGCTTGGAGGGGGCGGGGTAAAAGACATATCGTCGTCATCCAGGATTGCTCCATGTCAAGCCTTTCCGGCAGAAACATCCCTTACTCCATGAGGTAGACGAATAATATAAATAATTATTTAAAAATCGGCCTAATTCGTGAGTTACCTATATGCCAAAGTACCCAAGTAGGCTTTATAAGACATCCTACCCTATGCGATATTTAAATAAAATAGTGCCGAGGATATAGGCCAAACTTCTTTCATGCTGGAATTCCTTTCCACGCCAACTTATACTCATTCCTATCCAAGTTGGATATCGTAAAGTTGCGGCGTATGTATGTGTAGATGCAATTCCAACAATCCAACTTCTACAATATCAATTCCTTAGACAGACGCCTCGGCGGCAACACGTAATAGGTTCCATAATGCATTTCTCCTTTATCCTGCCGTATCCTTAGGCTGGTTAGCCTATTAACGAATAACACATGATGATATTTCTGTGCTTGTAATTAAAGGAAGGGAAAAAATAAAGTTGAGGCCATCCAAATAACCATATTTCCCATGAACGCCCGGAATTCGATGCGCTGGTATCCTATTCTCCGATCTTGCACCGCCCTTTGGGAATATATCATGACCGTAACGCCGCAAAATCTGACACGACAGTAGGCGTGTCCGTTAAACGCAAAGCTGTTACAATCAAACCACGCGTCCTCTAAACTCCAACCCCGTTTTCGCATCCCACTCTGAAATCTCCCTAGACGAATATGATTAATGAATCATGCCTATGCTTTATTTGTCCGTCTGCATAGACCGTCTAAGGGGTTGACGGTAAATCTTGCTGTAACCCTAGCCAGAAGAGTTAAGGGGCTACAAGAGCCTCCTAAGCCCCCCAATCTCCTCAGCGGGTATGTATAATATGAGCAACCAGTTCCATTGCATTATGCGTTGGCCTGGCACTCTACTACTGTGATAGTAGTTTTACTCTTCTCCCACACCAGTTCGGGCCAGTATTGATAATGAAGAACTAATAGCCCTTCGGATGCACGGAAATTCTTGGGCGAGACAAATTTTCGAACGTCTAAACCTATGAAAAGCACGCGCCCGTTCGTTAAACTCGGTGAGCCACAATTCTCGGGTATAGTATCACGCGAAATTGAAGATAGACACCTTAGCCTCGTCGAATTCGTGTTATGCCATTCTCATTCGATCAATGGTTTCTTCTGACCTCCTACTAAGCAATATCCTAGAGACGCTAAAGCATTCGGGTCGTCGGCTAAAACGATGGTTCTCGCTGGCAGCATCGGATTATTTTGGTCAACTGCGGAGGCATCTTTCGCTGCCTGCTCGATGGCATCCATTTCTTCCTTGCATGCTTGATGATCTAGTGGACATATAACGATAGGCTGTCGAAGGGTGATATCACGGGCCGATGCCAATTGAGCCTGTGTTAAACCAAGTGTCAGCAATAATCTGCAAACAAAAAACCCTTCACAACTTTCACCACTCTCATATCTAGCATACCTTAATAGTAAGAAAGAACTCGATCTTGTAGAGTGTAGATGTTGTCGTGAATGATGTGACTTCGTAGTTTGGGAAAGCCGGTTGCCCCCTTCGAATAATTCCATTCGCATCCCTTAGATCCTTATGCGGAAAGATAATGCCCATATTAGTAACGTAACCTTCTTCCGGTAATTTGGCTCCTATCGTCTGTGTATGTTTCTGTAGCCTATTCACTTTCCTAGTCGGCTCATCTCCTTCGGGATTGTACGTAATCTCCTCCTCTATCGCGAGTGTGATCTTCTGTATGGTCACCTTCCTCGCCTTGGCTAGCCAGTCGAGATTAGGGGCCAACTTAATATATACCGTAATAGGGTCCATAGGTCCGTAACTCCATCTTGGAAGCGAAATGCCAAGGGTGACTATGTTATCCGAGGTCACGGCCTTGTGTTCGGGCCGGTTATACATTCCAAATGTCGATAATGTATCGTATCGTTGCAAGGGGACTGGAAATGCATATTTATTCTGAATACTCTGTCCTTGCTGCACCGTAACCACTAGTTCGTAATATGTCTCTGCGGTCCTGCTTGGGAGTTGTAACGAAGCCGGCGGTATCCTTCTATTCGTTTCTTCACCGCCTCGTCCAAACGGGATAAACAAGACGAATGGCAGGTCCATCGTCATGACATTCTCTGCTTCCCTGCCTGTTGCGCAACGGTATAGTAAAAGTTCCTTTCCAACAACGTCGGTGGTATCGCGTCGAGGTGTCCCGAGGTGGCGCTTGGCTACATTTTCGGCCGCTGGATGGATTGTTTCTCTTCTTTGTAGACATATTCGTACTAGAGAGATAGCGACGGGGGCGGAATATCCTGATGCAGGCCTAATCTCGACCTTACCCTCAATGCGCGGCTACAGACATGCGTTAGTCAAGTTAGGTTAGGTAGTTAGAGAGGCATCGAGTCATCCTTGAATTCGGGTTATCCAAGCCGCGAACCCCACGTCGAGGAAGTAGAAGCGGAAGCGGAAGCTAAGGTCGAGATAAATGGGATTGATGCGCAAACTCACCAACGTCGCCGAAATACCAGGATATCCAACTAGAAAACTACTATTTGGAGGACCGGAAACCCGAACCAAGGCTTGCACTCGTTCTGCCATCCTCCTTACGCGCTGTGTCCGGTAAGTGGAAGAAAAGGCAAATGTTTAGCGTCGGCCGGGCGCATCTATTCCTCGCGGACGGCTGTAAGCCGACACCCTCTTGCGAAATGCGATCTCTGCACAGTCCGGGATATGTCGTGGAAAGGCGCATTACATGTCAAATATTAGTCGTCGCAGTAATGTCGTCGAGGTTCGAATATAAGTGTGATCGGTAAGCGAAGTTATTATCGTCGAGAGTGATGTCGCTTAGTGTTACCTGTCAAGGGAATTGAGGGTGGAGAGTCGCAAAAAGGCGGGACGCAGCAATTGGTAAATACGTAGGTTAGGTACCTGGGTTAGAGGTACAGAAAGCTTGGTTACTTGGTTGCTCGGTAGCTGATGGAGACGGGTGGCTGAGATAGGGACGCGAAATCGACGGGCTGTAAACTAGACTATTGACCGGTGATCAACTGGCGGGTAAGTGTGTAAAGTCACAGCCCGGTCGGTTTCCACAAAGATCGATAGGCGAATTGATAAAAAAAAAAAAACGAGCGGAGTGGGATATCCCCTAAAAGTTACTGTTCTTGATTTCCAGATGTTGATGAAGCTGGCAGGTTTGTAGCTCCGTAGCTCGGCTGCTAGGACTTGGCTTGTATTGCTACGAGTATGCTACGTAACGAAGCCGGTTTACGACAAGATAGCGGGCAGCTAAAAGGTTCACCGCGGAGAGGGAGGGGGGATAAGGTTCTGGAAGACCAGTTTACATTGAATTGGACCTTTTTTTTTTCCCTCCCCCGGAATATGCTAGGTAGAAGTAAGCGATTGTATTGCACCCGTGTGCCAGTGGAATTAATTGCTTTAACCCCACAAGTCCTATGGGGGGTGGGAAGAAAGCCAGGGATTCTTCCTATATATTGCTATGTGTGGGTAATAAAATGCGTGGTAAAAAGGTAAAAGGCGTCTCTTAAGACTTGGATGTTTAGGGATGTTTAAGGATGTTTAAGGATGTTTTAGGGAGTTTAGCATAGTATGGTCATAGTATGATACTGTCTAGTAAGTGGTGAAAGATGGGAAAATGTGATAGATACCACCTGCCCGAAAGTTTAAAGCTGAAAGGGGAAATTGGCAAGCTGTAGGAGCACGAGGATTTGGAGAGACTTCCACCATCTTTGAATTAAAACCAATAGACGGCCGTTCCGATTCGGGCGGTTAGGCGTAGTGGAGGTAGTACCTATCTGACATATCCATATCAGGTACATACAAAGACAAGCCCCAAGTATAAAATATCAGGTACCAGCAACTCACCTTGTCGTACCAATGTTACCCCCCGACAACTTATATATACATAGTAAGTACTTCTCTAGGTATTTCTCTATGTACCCAAACCATATATTAATATAATTAATTGACTTCACTTATAAATCTTATGTCTTGCGCAACTATGTTGTGATAGTTAGGTTAATTAAGTCGCTAATGACGATAGAAGTAAGCTACATCAATCATTAACTGTTAATGTTAGTTAAACACATTGAGATCGCAGATATGATATACTATTAGAACTGTCATAGAGATGATTTATCATTATAATAAAATGAGTAACTAACCCAGTAAATTGTATACTTGTCTTTTCTATTTACATAGAAACTCGCGTACATATCAATACTATATTTCTTCCAGGATGTAGACATCCCGCCCCCTCGCGACATCGAACATTTCTATTTCAACAATTATAACTTAGTAACACAGAAAAATGGACGAGTAATTGGTACCATAATGTGCATGACCACACGTGGGAGCGTAACTTCGGGCGAGTGAAACAAATCGCCATTTGCATAGAAGCCTATTCCGACGCAGACGTGTACCTTCACGAAAGCCTAGGTATGTATGTACAGAAGGGTTCTTAGCTTGGGGGCCATGTAGGAGCCTGAACCTGGCCAACTGGATGAGGCTGATGACCCTGAAGGCTACCCCTGCCTAGGCTGCTAGGTATCGATACCATGCAATATATATTACACAAGTGTTATTTTTGCTTTCATTAAGTTGTCTTATTACCTTTATACGTGTAGATATTTACTAGACTAGCAAGTTAGGCCTTAATCACTGAGAAAATCTCTAATAATAATAATAATAGGTTTCTAGGTAGTCCTAACAATTCGCTCATAGAAGAGAATAGAGCTATCGATTAATACTTGTTAGAACCCTTCAACCTCAGCCCTCAGCTATGCTTAGCGCTTACAACCCACAACCCACAATCCACAATCCACAACCCATAACCAGTTCTATGTAAAGTCCTACATATGTATGCACGGTACCACACCAATGTGAAGCCGCATAGGTACGCACGCCTGGCACGGCGCCTTTGCCGCCCAGCAGCAATGTAACCCCCCAGTGCGCCATCAATTTTACGACGGGAACCCTATGCTTCCAGGAAATCGTGGGATGATTCGCAGGTATTGCTCCCACGTGTCCCCGCGTTTTTAATCCGTAATTTTTAATCCGTAGTAAAGGTATATAGGTAAACAAAAGAGACTATAGATAAAAATGATGACGGGATAAGATGATAGACCGCAAATGTGACCTGCATGTTTAAGTCCACTATGTACGTACACGTACTACTACCTACCAGCCCTAACAGGTAGCCCCTGTCCAATCAATTTAGGGCGTATTAGCCCCGCATCGGCCCCTAGATTTGGATGTTTTAGCCTCCTCCACTCCGCGACCCCCACAACTCTTTCTCGCTAAATCGTAACCTTTTTTTGAACTTCCGACTTCACGTCATTCGTCATTCGTCATTCGTTGTTTCATTAGGTACGATCCCGTAGCACTGAATAAAGCTGTGCTAAGTGGTCTTAGGGCCTCGATCGCGTAGTCCCAGTTTCCCGGATATGCTGCCTGTCTTAAGAGTTCTTCGACACAATGTCCGTCACCCTACACACCACTCAGGGTGATCTTAAAATTGAGGTCTTCTGTGAAAGCGTGCCCAAGACCGCTGAGGTACGTATACCTATACAACTTAAGTATTCACTTCAATATCATTAACCAACTTACATTCATATAGAACTTCTTAGCACTATGTGCATCAAACTACTATCACCAATCACCAATTCATCGACTGATCCCTGGGTTCATGGTTCAAACAGGTGGTCCAGCAAACCCTACGCCAGATAACCCAAAAGGCGGCCGGTCAATATGGGGCGGGACATTTGAGGACGAGATCCGGCCAGCCCTTAAGCACAATGCCCGTGGAATTGTATCAATGGCAAATAAAGGACCTGGGACCAACGGCTCACAGTTTTTTATTATTTTCGATAAGGCGCCTCATCTAGATGGTTTAAATACTGTGTTTGGAAAGCTTATTGGGGATGATAGTCTCGCTACTTTAGCTAAACTAGAAGCACTCGAGGTGGACAAGAAAAGTCGACCAAAGGAGAAGGTGTTGGTCGAGAAGGTGACTATCCACGCTAATCCGTTGGCAGCGTGAGTATCATATCATATCATACATAATCTTACCATATGAAGGCCCGCGGCCAAGGTCCATCTAAGCGAGTATATATTTAAAGCTTCTACGTCTTGGACTTCTATGCAAGTTATGACTAATAGACACTCGACTATTAAGCCTTTGCGGTCTTATTCATCCAGCGGCAAGTGGTGTAGAAGAGAATATTAGTTCCAAAATTAGGGGCAAGTTTTATAGATGAGTCTGGTTCTCCGACGATAGAATTTACCAGGTATATCTAGACTCGTTTGAACTTGACAGATGCGTAAACTCATAGTTGCCGTCGACGAAGTACAATAGAATTGCAAATCGTAGATAGGGTGAAAAAGAAAGAAGTTCATTACAACTTAGCCATTGACTTCTTTCATGCAATTTAATAGGCAACTACCTATGTCAGGTACCTACCTAGGTAAGCAACTTAGTCTTCTTAAACCCATAAGCCAACAAAGTGCAAGAACAACTTGAGCAGGTACCTACGTGCCTGTGGTTCTTCACAGGTCCAAAATTAAGTAGGTGCATGTACCTACCTTAGGCACACAATCTTTATGAGGTAGGTACCCAACCTTTTACCTGCCTGCTTGTAGACGTCAATTTAAATATTTTCTTCGAGGTTATTTTCTTATCTCTGTTAATTTCAACCACACAACCTCCCACTCCTCACAGGATAGCATCACGCGGATCAACTCCTCTAGGTCAACCTTCCTTGTATTTTCAAACTCGATTCCTGGATTGCATCAACATATCATACCCCGTAAGCTGGGTAGGCTTCGTTCCTGCCTCGACTATACTCTGTGCTGTGAACAACTCTTTTACGCACCCAACATCTCCATCATGGCCATCCTTGAAGCCGTTCCTGGTGTAAAGGTCACCGTGCGCATCAACGGCGTAGACTGTCCGGAATATGATGATCCTAATGTTCCTGAGCAGCAGCCCAGCCATCCGACATTGTCGAAATACATTGAGTCACCCGATAACATCGAGTTCACTCTCTGCGCAAGCGTAAATAAAGATTACGACTGGGGTGACAGGAGCGACTGTCTTTGTTTCCAGGTCTGGGTCGATTCTACTTGGATTAAAGGTCCAATAATCTATAAAACAAACCTCACGAATGGGCAGTATGAGAGCGTGGTCAAAGGCAAATACATATTCTGCGATCACACTAAATCATGGTTCAACCATGCACTTAAATTCTCTACAGTAAAGATCGGTAAGTTAGGATGAATAGGTGGAAATTTATGATACAGATTTTAGGTACTAACTTAGATGGTTCAAGTCGAGAGCATGACGAAAGAACGCATCAAGAAAGACCAACAAGTAGCCAAAAATCTCGGGCTAATCGAGGTTAAAGTTGAACGTAAAATCCATCTTGACGAGAACCGCAACCATCACGGGGACACTGGTTGGGGGCTTTCTTCTTTTGAACTTGCCGAGAAGTCCCTAAAGGGCAAATCAATTTCCCATGGAACTATGTGAGATAACAATCTCTATGAGCTCTGCGTAATATCCTAATTTACTGCTCTAGTTTATCTACTGGTACAAATGTTTCACGCCCGAGGTTTATGCGAACCAAACGTCTCCCGGATGATAATGGCCCTATTGCAATCTTCCAATTTCGATACAGATCAAAAAGTAAGGTCTCTTTGCAGGAACTATTCACTTCTCTTGCTTATCACTAGAATTAGAGGCTCTCCAGCAAGAGTTGATAATCCCACAGACTCCACCCAGATCACCAAGTCTAGATGGGCTTTCTACGGCCGAAATAACCCGACTAGCAAAGGAGAGACTTGAGGAAATAAATGTGAGTTTTGCCTGTTTGTTGTCAAATAGCACAACTAACTATTATCTCTAGGCAAAAAAGCAGCTCGTCAAAGAAGAACCGAAATCTATCAAACGTGAGGTTGATGAGGTTTATGATCTAACTGAAGATGGTACATCAACTCGCCCTGCTAAGACTCGACGTCTTCCACCCGAAGTCATAGACCTTACTGATGACTAAGTTCAAGTTATGGGGTATCATGAGGTACTTTACGGTTCATTAAAGTTAGCTAGCAGTGCTGCGTTGATTTATAAGGCGGCTACTTGCCTACTATGCCAAAAGCTAGGTAAATACCTATAGTGAAGCTTGGCTTGCTTTCTGAGCTACTATAATACTAAAGGGGGAAAGGTTCGCGTGAAGATAGGACTACTATTATTGCAATCCAAGATTTCAATGACAAGTTTATGAAATGTCTACAAATTACCCCCTAGATAAAAATCTAAGAGTGAAGATTGTCTAAAAGAGAAAAGAAACACGTTGAATTTACATGAGCGTCTAGTCATCTAACCGTAACCCGTAAACTTTATGCCGAGTTAGTATTGGAAGACCGGTTCCTGTAATATGGTAATATGGTAATATGTATAAAATATATTATATCGACACCTTAAAGAGGTATTTTATTGAGATGAGATGGGTCATTTTATTAATATTAAATTAGGACTTAGCTATCATGATTATATGGGCATGATAGGGTATGTAATGTAGGTGATATAGATGCTAATTAATCTTGGGAGCTAGTAGTCATTTCAAAGTCCTAATTCGGACACTCGCTATGCAATGGGGTCCAAAGGGTCAATATATATTTATATTTATCTTCACTATAACTGTCTGCTATGGTCCATGAGCTATCTAGATAAATAACATAACTACCGATATATACCTACTTATTAGATGTTTTCTTGATGGAAAAGTCGCATGTCGGCTTAAGGAGAGTATATTATCAACTTCCTCATCTAGTTCTTGGGAGACGAAGACTTCCTACATGTATAAATGCAGACGAATAACAGATTACTAGGCGGCTTGTGACTCAACTATAAACCCTTTTATATCATGACCATCAGACAGACCTTCGTTCACTGATAACTATATTTAAAGTGACCTATAGGGCGTAGCGTTGAAACGTTATAGAATATCTACGACAAAGGTATTATCTCGGTCTATGTACCTAGTTATGTGCTCCCAAATTCTTCAACACCTCATTCCATACTAATATCTAGACTTTCATTTATGATATAGACTATAGAATAGTGACATTATAATGTTATCCCGTATGCTTATTAGACTATATACACTTTGAGCTCCAAATGTGATGGTGACATCAATGATCTGAAATGAACTTTAGCTAAAAATAGAAGATATATACATTCGAAGCACCAGTGACAAGTCCAGATGCCGATTTAGAGGATGATCAATACTGTTAGATCAAGTCCTCTTACGTAAATCCATTCTTGTACTAACTTTGCCACAACAAAGCTAATATATACACTATGCTATTTTATTAACCATCAACTTCCTAAACATCTGTGTGTTTTCCGCTATGGGCTCAAGCATAGAACGGTTTAACCGTAGAAGACCTTAAACTTCCACACTCTTGACTCACCGAACCCTGGCGCTATGAAGATATGATTCAACGGATTCGATCTAACTACCAAAGAGCTGAACTTTCATGGCAGTATATCGGTGCGCTTTGACAATGCCACCAAACTATATGGATCCGGCGTCTATGGCCATATTTTAGCATACTTTGGCTGATCGAGTGTTCGGATCCTGTGAGCATGGCACGGCCACTCTTTGAGATGCTAAACTCTATTGCTCGACAGAATCCGAGGTCTATATAAAGTAGCCAACCCCCGACTGAACTTGAAGAGGAGCAGGTAAATGAGATTTGTTCCATGTTTCTTCCCAATCCAACCATTTATTCAAGCACGCGAAACGACAAGATGTCTAGCCGAATATTCAGGATGAGGGATATCATTGTCCTTCAAGAAGGGTATGCTCTTCTCGACCGTAATTGCTTCTTGACTGTAACTGACAAACAGAAGTCCCATTACGGATTTCTCGCCACTAGCTGCCATGAAATCGCCTGCTGTCTCCCTCCTATATGTTGGCATTTTCATCTACTCCTGTCTCTGCATAGCTATAGGGTTCAAGATAGCCAACGCGAGATGGAGAGACAAGAATATCATGAAAATACCGCCGCAGATAACCTTTATCTTTGCCGGCGTCTGCTTTACGCTCTTATTCGTCGTGTTCATCGTACCATTCTTCATCTTGTGTCTCATATACACAGTAGCCGATAACCACGCGCTCAAGAGCCACCGGCGCAGGGGAGAGACAACAACCTTGCCTCCGCGTCGTAATCGATTACGGTATCTCAATCTTTGGGATCTTAGTTCCAACCTAAGCTCCAGTAGTAGTAGCTCCAACGATAGCTTCAGTGATAATGCCAGTGTAATCACGGCCTCTTCTCGCGAGGCGCCCCCACCACACTATAGCCAATACCAGAGAGATACTTGGGTTGATCCCTTGACGGAGGGTCCACAGCCCGAAACACCTCCACCGGTGTATTTCCCTCCGGATCGTATTTCGGAGGATATGCTTACGGACGGATCTAATCAAGGGTCGATAGTGTGAGTAACGGTTTCCATCTGATCGAGGTCCACTTCACCAACTAATACTTAACAGGACTTACACTTTACAAGAATCAGAACTGCTACAATTACCTAGGTAGATGATGATATACTTAAGGTAGTCGTGGTATATACAGTGATGAGATTTAGGATTTGGATTATAAGAGTTAGCTAAGCGGCCTACCCGGCCACTTATTACGCATGTGCAAAAGGGGGGTTCCTCTAAAATGTCTTGTATATTTAAAGAGAGGTTGGAAAATACTTTCCGGCAAGATTGTCTTGGTTGTCTTTGGGAATGCATCAAAGGGGTCTATCTTTCATGGGTATTCCTAAGGGGGAGGAGGATAGTATAGCGGTTTACTAGAATAAATAAATACTTCAGCATTTAATCATCACTAAGTTAAGCCATTTAGATAAATCTATATGAATTGTCACAAGTAGAAGATTTGCGAGAGCATAGACTAGATGTCGATTTACAAGAAATCAAAATATAAGGGGGAGTATAATATTATTAAATGCCGGAAAGAATTATATACAAGAAGACTAAAGAAGAACGGGCATTCCATATCATCACAGGGGCAGGTAAGCGAACACAACCACCGGCATCGCAGATGTATATATCGTAGCATATCTCATGGCAAGCGTCACACGTACTGAATTAAGTCCAGCTGTGTCGTAACCCCCTGTCTCACCCTTAGTCCCGGCTGGGCTACGCCACTCGGAGGTGACTGGCGCCTAAGCCGGGAATGACCTCGTACAGTACGGGCACGATTTCGACAGCCAGCCAGCCGATTCCTAGGGCACTTAGTTAATAGATACCCAAGATATGTTCCGGATAATGATAAGATGTAGATTATTGCGAGGAAAAGTGAACACATATAGTACAGGTAAAAAAAGATTCAAGAAAAGGGGAATACTTACCACAGTACACAACCAACTTCGTAACAACCTCAACATCATACCGCACCCGCGGCTTTACTAGTCTAGAGAAGACCTCATTCTCACCTAGCTCATCATGTTGCCCCACTACTAAATCCGGCTCCCCACCTGTCTCGGCCGGCGAGACCACCACCGTGCCCTCTCCCATTAGTTTCTCGTAGTCGCTCGGCTTATTATGAGCGCCGTTGATATTGTTAACGGCCGAGCTACGCGCATTATCAATTTCTTCTTGCTGGCGGATATCCTGTACGCTGGCTCTATTACGCAACGCGCCGTTACTAGTATTGCTACCAGTAGCAACATTATTTTCTGCATTTCCAGCCCCCACGCTGACGCTTTCCCTGCGCCTGCGCTCACGGTACGCCAGCGTCTCGTATGCGTCGGCTGCACTCTGGGGGCCAACACTGACAGAACGGCCGCGACCGGGATGTCGTACAGCTGTGATTAAGTTCGGTAGATCGCTCACGTTAGGCATAACGTTGTCGACGCGGAGACGTAGAGGAATGTTCTTATACTCGGAGGCGGGCATGAAAAAGCGGCGTGGCAAAATGAGGCCCCAGATTTCGATGAGCCGAAACAGATGCGGTAAGCCCTTCAGTAGCGACGGCTTAGCTACCTCGCGCCATGCAAATATGACCAACACGCCGAACAGGATGCGCAACGCGACAGCCACCCACCCTAGCGCCACAGCGTCAAACGGAATGTCAGCCCACGAGGACCGTGCAAAGCGCCATGTACCAATCTCAAGTCCCATCATGACACCTGCAAAGGCCACGCTGTCGTCGAAACAAGGGCAGTCATCCGCGGGTTCAGGGTGTATACGAATCAAGATGATAATAAGTAGTAATAAACCGCAGAGGTTTGGCCAGCTCTCCTCGAGATAAAGGTCGAGGACAGGACCACCGTAAAACTCGACAAGAGATATGATGGCGCCCATGAGGGAGCCGATAATGACGTCGACGAAGCCGTGCATGCCGCAGTAGAGGCGGCCGAAGACGATGCTAATGGCGTAGAAGTAGGCGAGCGCCTCGAGGGCGGAGCGTGTGGCGGGCTGGAATGGATTGTCGGGGTCGTGGAGGCATAGAATAGCGTAGACGGCGACAGAGACGGCGTTGGCAGAATGGGTCGAAGGAAAACCATACTCAAGCGCTGCAGATCCAGACATGGTAATACGTTGGAGGGGCGGAGAGAGTGGTCGCGGTAGTGAGAAGAAATCTTTAACAAAGCCGGTGAAGAAGACACCCGTCGCAAGGATGTGTACGATGCTGGTGGTCCATGTCAGTAGCTGCTCGCATTCCTACTTCATCTGGTTTCTCGTAATTAGGATAGATAACCGTACCCTTTCCCAAAGGAAGCATTTCCACACCAGAACATTATCGGTAGACCGATCATGAAAAAGGTATGGGTGCCGAGGTTAGCCGTGATGGCAAAGTAACTGTCGAGCGCAGGAGATCGCAATCTATCTTGTAGCCAGGCTAAATAAGGTGTCTCCCATCTGACGAGAGGGAGAGCTCGTTGTCGCAATTCGTACCGCCATTTCGGAAGAGCGCGCTTGTCTATAGTAATACAAACATAGATCAGTATATCAGTATGTAGTGTGTATACTCTTAAGGTTGTATTGTATAAGATTTCCCTCTTCGTATGTGAGACCTTCACGTTTGAGAGCGAACAATGTCTCATACTCGCAATCATTATGTTGTTCCTTTCCACCTCTTTTACTAGTATAATAATAATAATAATGACGACGATGATGATGATGATAGTGATGATGATGGCACATACAATGATCTAAACTCCGTAACCCGGCATCGATCACGGGAGGCTTCTCTTCGACTTCTTCTACACTCTTCATAAGCCCAGCACCGCCATTGGCGTGGGCATATTTAGATATATTCATCGGATCCTAGGGTCTGTCCTCCTCAATCTGGACGCTAGCATGAACGATCGGAAGGCAACGGGTGATGCTCCCGTCCCGGTCGGGGTCGGAGTCAGGGTCGAATCAATTCTTGGAGTTGTGAATCGTGGGAGATGTCGACGATTGCGCATCGAAATCGATCCAATCTCGGCGGTTATTTTTAGACTGCGAATGTCTAGGAATATTAATTTACCTAAGGTAGTAATATTATAGAGGAAGAGAATGCGACTAAAAAGGAATATAGGGATGTAAGTAATAAGGTAGTTAAAAGATAATCAAGAATAAATGTGAGTAGGATTCAGTTGATCAACCGTCCCAAGCCACCAGGATCACCGCATATGTATAATATGGTTTTCCTTCTTCCTCTCCTTCTTCTTCTTTTTTCCCAAGTAATTCTTTAATTTTTTATAATTTTACCTATAATTTTCCCAATATTTCGCATAGATCTAGGAGTCAAGTTTATGTGGGTTTAGATTTTATCCTTTTTTCTTAGGTATCTTGGCTGTAGTTGTTTTCTTTTGAATTGTTTAGATTAGGTATCCCCGTCCCGTCCCCGTCATTGCAAAATGGTAAAGTTTGTAGAGTTGGCATCATCTCAACTCTAATTGTGTTTTCCTTCAAGCCCAATCTTATCTCCCCCCCACATTTGTATCGTCAGTCCTTCGTCTAGGTATGGACCCCTGGAAACCGATTGGAAGTGGTCATCTTTCAGGGGAAAAGTTGCATGTACATACGTACCTAAGTAACTTGCAGAAAGCCACACTAAATTCGAGAGCTTGGCGATTAGGTACTAAGTTACTTTTTCCGAATGTTCGTATCTTGTACGAATTAAATGTCACTTAATTGAATCAGTACTATGTACATGTACATGAGCATGGGCATTGACTAAAGCTTACTTTACCCACGTGACCAACCTTTTTTAGATACATATCTCCGTATTGAGAATTAAATATGACTATAGGTAGAGATATGAATTTGGATATAGAGGCATCGCTGCTTGTACAAGTAATAGCGAAATACCAATAAAGAAAAATGATATACATGTCTCTCCATATACACATGCACAGATGATATTCTCCCACATAACTGAATAGAAGAAATGCAGTCCCTGGCAGGAAAGCATTGCTTCATCTCGGGCGGCAGCCGGGGCATAGGATTAGCCATTGCCAGACTCTTCGCCGCCCAAGGAGCAGGGTGCACTCTTATCGGACGTGATGAAGACACTCTCCTCAGTGCTGCGAATTCTCTACACCGACAGGAAGGTTCTTCACAGCAGCATTATACAACCGCCTTCGACGTTTCAACTCAAAATGGCTGGGAAAAACTGATATCCGATTCCAAATTAGTATGCATTCTCTTGCTAGGTTTCCGTACACAACACTGATGTAGATATGATATCATAGCAAACCTGTGATATTCTCGTCAACGCTGCTGGCGTTTCCCAAAACTCTTTCTTATTCAACACTAGCAGATTAGACGTGACTGAGATCATTGCCACTAACCTCACTGGTACCATATGGGGTTGTAAACACTTCATACCCAAGATGATGAAGCAGAGAAAGGGCAAGTTGATTACACGTCAACGTATTCTTACCTTACAATTAACACTTGCACTTTATTATTATAGGTTGTATTATTAACGTGGCTAGTCTGCTAGCTACTCACGGGGGACGGGGGGCAAGCGTTTATGCCGCGTCAAAAGCCGGCGTCGTTGGTACGCACTCGGTCATTTCTTTAAGCTCGTAAGCTAACTAAACACGCATATTCTAGGTCTAACGCGATCTCTGGCCTGGGAAGTAGGCCGGTTTGGCATTCGTGCCAATGTCCTCCTGCCCGGATATATCCAGACCGATATGACGAAAGGTGACATCTCATCCTTTCTGATTTTTTTTCTCTTCCCCCCGCCTGCTCAACCTTGTTCCCCTAACCGATCCTCTTACAAAGTACACGATTATTAATATACAGGCTCGGCAGGCATGGATCGGAAAAATGAGCTATCTGCTCTCATCCCTCTTGGACGACTCGGTTTGGTCGAAGAGGTGGCAACTGCTGCATTATTCCTAGCCCAAAATTCCTACGCACACAACTGCGTGCTCAATATCGACGGAGGCTTAAGTGCAACATAAATTTCGTCGAGTTCTCATTTGCCAAAAGCGACGAACACTCAATCGATGATTTCTATCGCGCCGGTACCAGCGTCATCGTCAATAATGACCACGTCATCGTCATTCTTCACCTTCTTGGCTGCTGGAGATGCTCCATCTTCCGTTATTAAACGCTTCTTGGGGTCCTTAGGCTCTCCATCGGCAGCACGCTTGCCATTAGTCTGGCTAATCCCGTTGCTTTGAATAGTAAGCACCTTCTTCGGTCGACGAGGGATGCTAGGTGTTTGGTCGACTTGGAGACCTTCAATGGGTTTATCCGCAAGCTTGCTACAAAGGAAAGTTAGTTATTAGTATAGTGAGGATGGTTTGCTACGACATACGCTTCCTGAATATTAATGACCACGTTGATGAAGGTATCGTCATCATCCTCATCTACGATGGTGACAAAGCTATTTTGCTTGACACCTATAAATTATTAGATATGTCAATAAAAATGTGGACGTTGGAACCGACCGAGTTCGTTAAGATTTTTATCAAGATTATCCGTCTCGTCAGGATCATATAGCAAGCCAGCATCACTATTAACGGCAAATTCCTTTTCGCCGTAACCTAGTTGTTGTTTAATAAATTCTACTAGATTGTTAAGCGTCGCTTTTGATAGATCAACATTAATATTAGCGTTGTAGGCGCCGCAAACTGGGCATTCTGGGTTTGGTAGTCGAGGACGATCTGTCCCTAGTAACCTCTGAGGCGCAAAAGGTGTCAAGAATACCTAAAATGTCAGCAATATATACAAATCTATTGAGCTTCACCACGCACCTCTCGTGCCTTGTCATATTCCCCTCGAAGAACTTTGAATGACTCAAGGACGGAAAGGCCAGCAACGATCGCATTTGTGGTCGCGATAGCGGGAATAATGTTGCCAGCCATCTGTTTTATATCGAAACGTGACTTAGCTTCTATTCCGAAGATATGCGATCGAATGTTCGCGCTAGCAGCAACGAAATCGAGTGTGTCCTGATCATCTTTATCAAAAGTGATAGTAGGCTTTGGAGAGTCCTCACTACGTATCGCCAGTAGCTCTAGCATTCGCTTACTTAAGCGGTCTAAGCTATCGTTGAAGACTATCAAATTTTCCTCCAAAGTCCATATGCGCTGATCATCCTTGAGGATCTGGTCTTTCGATGAGAGGGCCTCGGCTGCTTGGCTCATCAACGTCTTGTATTCTAGAGGCTTGGGTGGTTCTCTCGACTTCCACATATCCTTCATAGAGCGTAAGCGAACAATGTCCGCATTGAAAACCTTGTCGAATAACATTTCCGCAAACTGCTCCGTGCCAACCGATTCTCTTATCTTCCTTAATGCTTCTGCCTCTTTTTTGAGCTCTGCGATTTCCGATGCGTTATCTTCGTTCTCGCCGAGATCGAGGGAAGCTTGGTCCTCGCTTGTACCGTAGATTTCGTTGAGTAAGTAACTCTTACCCCAAACTATACAGTGGATAGGTTGACTCGGCGTGCTTCGAATCGTGCAAACGGGGAAGGTCTTAGGCGCTTCCTTTGTGGTGCAGTCATAACAAGCTGTAGCACCTTTTTTGATGACTTGAACTTGACCATTAAAACCTGTCGTTCCGCTCTCGATTAGAGGGACGTCAGCCGCTAAACACATTCGATTCACATGACGTCGCGCCTCGAGGTTGTCCAACGCATTAAACACTACTTTAAACCCTCTAAACCATTCGACGTGAAATTGTACGTCCTTAATATTGGCGTGGTGCGCGACAATCTTGACGTTCGGGTTGAATACTGCTGCCGCCTCCTTGGCTACCTAACCGTGTGGTCAGTACGTCATTATATATACCATCCGATCCGATCTATCATTTGCTCGTACCAGTGCTTTGGATTTCCCGATATGTTCGTGTCGGAAAAGGAACTGTCGGTTCAGATTACTCAAGTCGATTGTGTCGAGGTCGACGATGTGAATTTCGCCGAAGCCGGTGAGAGCGAGATTTTTTAACAGTTCACAGCCGATTCCGCCTGCGCCAACCATGAGAACTCGGGCCTGTGAATCTAGGGTCAGCGTGAATTTAGACTCCAAAGCCGAATATAAATCCATCTTGTAGTCTAATAGGTTTTAATACACAATAAAGTAGGCGCTCGTGTAGGCTACAGGTTGGAAACGTGAACGAGATATTGTCGCGCAAGGTTGTTAAGGCTGTGGTGATAAATCGCAAACAGCCCATATGACCTAGGATCGATCGTTCACGATGCGCGCAGCGGTAGGAAAGATGCAGGGCGCAAACGAGATGATGCCGTGCAGGATGCAGTTTGGCGACTTACCTCCTTGACATGCGCGTTCAGCGAGGGGCCAAGAGATCGGCGGTTGAAGGTATCTCGTGCCACTGCCATTTCGAACAACTAGCTACCCAAATCACTATCTGGGAAGATCTCTTCGTCGATGCATATGATAATGTAATTTGTAATAGTGTGTGATATGCGTACTAGATGGGAAATAAGGAATACGGTCGAGAATTAGTAGGGAATAGGAAAGAGAGAAAGGGGGATAGGAGAGTAAAAGAATAGAGTAACTAGACGGAGTAAAAAGGTAAAAGGGTAAAGAGAAGCTTGGTGTGAAAGATGACGAGACGATAGGTAGAAAGCAAGTACTAAAAAGAAGGCACCGCCAGCCTTGGAGAATGCTCGAACAGTAGTGGCTCAATTGGAGCCGGAAGCAAGTTGTGACGCTCCTGCCTTTGCTAGTATGACTTCGCAACTCGGGGCAATCGGGGGACTACCTGGTAGTGTCTTAACCATAAGCTTTTAAGGTTAGCAACTCCCAGTTGAATGCAGTTGAATGCAGGCAAGCATTTAGAAGCAGCCAAGCAGCCAAGGCAGGTCGCAAGCTTCTGTACAGGTACCATGCTACAGCTGCTACCGGGAATTCACGCTATTGGGCCGATGTGCTATAATACCCACTAATTTCCAAACACAGTATGCAGATTGCACATCATTTGGTGGTCTGCACTTTCAACGTGGAGCCCCCTCCTGAGATTGCCAAGCCTTATTGAAGTATACTATGTACTTCTATGTAGCTCAAAGCTAAAAGAATTGACCTAGTACAAGTACCTAACCGATAAGAATAGGAGGTACCTAGTGTACATACATACATTTACCTGAGCTGAAGCTACCAGTGATTCGTTTTTTAAAAGAGAGATGACTCTTTTACTTTTATTTGTATGATATACAAATCATAGTTACATTAGATTGTTTTGGAGTTTCATTGAAACAGTTCCTCCGCATAAAGTCCTGGATAAATATTTTGATAAATATTTTTCAAGTCAGGTTCAAATTTCACAACAATCTAATCTAGGTATTCTTTTTTTATAGGTACGGTACTCTACCTAATGTTTGTAAATCCCCGTTCCCCACTACATATCCTTAACATTTCAGCTTAAGAACCAAACAATTGCATCATCTTTTACTACACATTTACATACTGATTACTGTTCAGACCTGGTCCCATTCCAGTTTGCTATAATGTCGGATGACGAGGCGGATCCAGAGCTTCTAGCTCTTTTAAGGCAACATTTCCAAGGGAAGCTAAACTTGGATGAAGAACCAGAGACTGGTGTCTTGGAGGGCGCCGAATATGTCTGCGACAACTCGATCGATGTAGCTTTAAACATGAGAGCTTCCAAAAATGCTGCAGCTTTGATTTACGAGCAGATGCAGCAAAAGGAGTTCTCGACCGCGAGTTGGTCCGAACATGAATTACATCCCAAGACAAAGGACGAATCCACAGTTGCCTTCATTTTTACCATGGACCTGCTCAATTTCTCATTCTGGTCCCTACACCCGGAAGAGGAACGTTTTGCCATCTCATACCGAGACAAGACCTGGACTGGATACTGGAGTCTAGTAGCTTCATTGCAGAGGGCACTGGAAGAAGGTAGGTTTAATATATTATCAAACACTTAGTCGCTTCGGTATTCGGAGTTTTCTTTGGTGTCAAGATAGCGTGTCTTCCAAGATGAGCATTCTCAGTTAATCAATACAAAGATATCCCCATAACCGATCCGCACTACTGGCAGAACGAAGAGGAGTGCAACCTTGAGTCCCTCAGATACGTTTTTAGGTCGTGCACCGAGGAAGAGATCCCCCTGCTGGAAGCAAGGCTTTCTTGCCTAAGGGAAGCAGGACAAGTTCTATATGAAGTAGGTAACCCAACCAGAACTACAGCATGGAGATAACGCATCGCCAACGCGCTTCGGCCCCTTGTAGAAATACAGCTGCAGCTTTACGAAATGCGTAGAAGCTGCCAATAAGTCGGCCGCGGGGTTAGTTAACCTACTTGCGAAAGACTTCAACTGTTTCAGAGACGAGTCTCGGTTTGAAGGTCGACGCAAACCTGTCCGGTTTCTCAAGCGCGCCCAGATCCTAGTGGCGGATATTTGGGCCTGCTTCAACGGTGAGGGCTACGGTGAGTTTAGGGACATCGACAAGATCACCATGTTTGCAGACTACCGTGTCCCGCAGATATTGGCTACGTTGGGTTGCATAGGATATAGTCCGCCTCTATTTGCAATGATAGCCAGGGGCGATATTCTAGAGAACGGAAGCGATTATGAAATACAGCTCAGGGGTAAGTATCAATGTTTCTAGCATCACTCCTGTGTCCGGACACTGCTAACAGAGTCAATTAGCATGTAGTATCTGGTGTGTGGAACTTCTCAAGCGCGAGATCAAACGTCAACACCCTGACGCGAAGATAAACGCTATCCTAATAGATTTTTTCCTGTACGACACCATGAAACTATTAGAGGCGCAAGGGAAAGAGACCATTCCACATCATCGAACGAGGAGTATTTGGTACTAAGCAGTTTGGATAAATAGGTTGCGATTGTAGTAATCTGTACATAGGCAACTATAATACCTAGGTAGTCCTAGTTGGCTACCAGCTAAAAGATGATTGATATCACGCAGTATATCAAACCCAAGCACTGATTATTTTCGGCAACTCTGGCCAAGCAAATATCAGAATTCCCCAACGCCATCGCGTAAACCATCATAAATATCACAAAGACCAAGGTCTTCGATCTCCTCATCGCCCGTAAATCGTACACACATCTATCTCTAAGACCTCAAGTATCATCGTTCTGACTATATACCTATAGCTCAGACTGCGGCGACAGTGGTTGAATTGAGAATCTCATCCATGTGCGCTTTCTCGATGCCCAGGGTGCCTTTAGACTCCTCCTTCTGCAGTACAGCGAGGACTTCCAGCGGCGGGTTTAGACCCAGCTTTTCAGCACGCTTCCACCGCTTCATGCGAGTAATTCCGATATAAGGCTGTTAGGGGTCATTAGAAACTGTAGAGAAACATAGAATAGAGGGACAAAACCACTTACTCCGTACTGGGAGCTGACATCCCAATATCGTAGCACTTTCTCCGCCAGCGTTAGACCCTCCTGATGCACCCTCTTAGCAATACGCTCGCGCTCTAGCTGTCTCCAATACTGGTCAATTTGACGATCGGTAACCTTGGTCGCGCGTAGTTCTGATTCCGACTTCTCGGGTTGGATATGAGGCTGTTTGACCAAAGGCTCTTCGTCTTCAAGTTCATCCTTGATCTCCTCCTCCTCTTCCTCCTTAGATTCCGGTTGAGCGGAAGAGATATGCTTCCCCAGCGGACTCTGCTTTACTGGTTGAGAGACCAAGTCCTTGGCGGGTTTAGGCACGGACTTGGTAACCCTGTGATTGAAGGATAAGGTCGACTGCTTGCCAGTGGTGCGGTTGCCGCCGCTAGAACGTCTCGTATTGGTCATTTTGTGGTGATTATCAAGAACTAATACAGTAACTTTACTACAATGACTATAATTGATAATGGTGTTTTAACTATGATCATAGGATATACAATCCAAGGAATATATTGAGATGTGTTTGATGTTTGTGCGATGTTGTAGATCTTAGATCGGCTCAATTGTGGAATGACGTGGGGGATTTTCAGACAACAGCTTCCTTGACTGTTTGATCATTGGCGGGGCAACACGAAATCCGAGCGCTGTCACGTGGCATTAAGTACCTAACCTTAGGGATGCGAAAAATATAATATCACTAGCGTATAATACCGTATAATATTATATAATACCGCATAATTGATCAATTATGCGCATAATCGGAAAGTGGCCTTTTTTTATCCGATACACTAGTACTAAATCGGAATAACGCCAGTAATGAAGCATCGTGTCTAAGGCTATTTTACGTTAGATTTGATCAAATTAACTGATTTAATTCCATTTTGGTTTTTATTTTAATTTTAATTTATTGCTTAAGCCTAAATTTTGGTTCTATTTTAAATTGAATTGTTAATTTTATAAGTTAAAATAGATGTTGTTATTATTGTGTAAAATTACTTAATATAAATAAAGGCCAAAAAATTTTATATTATAATTACATAATTATTTAATTATATAATGCGTATTATACGCATACTACGTATTATATGTATAATATCGCATAATTGGTCAATTATGCGCATAATTCGCATCCCTACCTAACCTACCTAGATTCCCTTAATTCGATATCGTATAATTGCATAGATCCATAAACGCTCCCCCCCTTATTCATAGCAGGACCCCTGAAGATCCCCTTTTGCTAAATCAGCACTATGCCAGCAGTAAGTGGTCAGTTCTATGCGAGTGAATAGGCCTGCAATTCTGGTTATATTGGATATAACTCTAGTAATTTTCTAATGAATCATTCAACTATTTATAGGAAAGTGAAAATATTAGAATGGCCCTGATAGCACATCATCGTGAACCCAATACAATATCCTCTTTTTTCTCTCTGTTTATTAACTAAGACTTAAAATGGTTGATTTGATTTTTTTTTTTTTGTATTGAATACGTCAGAAAGAAAGGAAATTAGAATTAGAACGGAAAAGCTAGGTGCCTAATTTGGTGAACACCAAATCCGTATGAAAACGTCACTATATGAATAGACCTGCCTGCTCGTCGAGTCATGAATTATCTAACGTAGGGCTTCCTTCTCTGAACGGCATATTACTGTCTTATTAGTATGACGTATTGATGTTTTCCAGTAAGCTAAATATCTCGTGCTGCCATGACATCGCCCTAGGGCCTGCTATCATCCTTTACTCCATCCCGTTTCTCTCATCCCAGGATTGTCTCAGAAGATATGCTTTCCATCTCCATTTTGCTATCTGCGTAGCTGCTTTGCAACGACTTGTCGCCCTTCAGAGTGTGCTGGCTCACACTTCTAGCCTCGGCCATTGCCTTTGCTCGAGCTGCCGCGGCTGTCACTTCTGCAGCCTGGTGCATCTCGATCTCTGAGGAGAATTTAGTCAGTCAGTCAGTCAGGCGTAATGTCGTCTCCCGTCTGTGTTAACTTACCAGCGTCGAGTTCAGCTTGGCAAACCTCTACTGTCTTATTAACCATGGTTGCGAGTACGTCGATAGGTTGGTTGTTCAGCTTTCCTGCTATGGCATGCGTGATGGGATCTAGATTAGGTAGCCAGGTCAGTAAATCATATAGCTAGCTCTTCTCTTCAAGCTAGTACATACGGTCAACGATGAATTCATAGAGTCCCTTTGCCGAGGTGTCTTTTTGGTACAGTTGATACAGCTGATCAAAATCAGCAGGCGTGATGCGGTATTTGCCTGATAGCGCTGAAATATGTTCTTTGGCGAGGTTGATGATATCTCGGATCCGTTGTCTAGTCGACATGATGGCTAAAGGATGCCAAGGTCTGAAGGCAGCTTGTTGTAGGACAGTTAAATTATATTAACATTCTTAGCATGATTTGGACTTATGTTGTGACTGCGAATTTCGTGCATGATCTGTGTCCTTGTAGTTCACAGATGTGTATGGACTGCGCGGGTCTTCGTCGCCTTCTGAACAACGTTAGACGGTATCACAAATTTCAGTCGTCCTGTTGTACGTTGCCTGGCGGGTTACTACATTAACGTAATGATTAGGGATTCACGCCGCCATCCACACAATGAGTCCTTAAATCCAAAGAGCCTGGATTTATACCACTACTCTGTCTTCCACCTAAAGCCTCCAGATCGTTAGTAGTTTACCTGTCAGCTGTTACATTCACTAGGGTACATTTCCCCGAAGCGAGCCTGGTAGCTGTAAACTCGAGAATTTGTACCCAATAAGAGAGGTCATAAATACTGATTGAAGAATTTTGTTTTGGTTTAATGGCCATCTATTTTTAACGAAGGTATATCATATTGAGCAACAATGATGTGACATACTGCACAGAGAAGCTAGAGGCGGTTAGTATGAAATGTATTACTTCGATATTTATTCGATCAAGTCCGTTATTATCTTTAACCTTTGAATTCACGCTCTCAATAGACTACTATTTGATTGTCCCCAATTGCTATTTTATTTTTGTAGAGAATGACGGCTTGTAGGCTTTACGTACTCGTGAACCAAAGACCATAACACGGCTGGCCCAGCACTACATCACACAATAGTAATGAAGTGACCAGAGAAGCTCATTTCTAAGTCTAAATTTGTGTTGTTGCTTTAATAGCTATTGGCCGAGGGATTGTATTTCGGAATATGAATCACGTAACTTCAACGACTTGAGTTAGTTTTCATAGAAATAATAAAATTATATAAACCGACAAATACTCCAAGCCTCGGAAATGTTGGACAGTTTGTGCCATGGTGTAGAGCTAGAAAGCATTGGAAGTAGCTTCGTTAATAACCTGTAGCTATACATACCATGGATATGCTTTGTTTAAGGCGTCTCATCTAAAATCCTAATGGTTTAACTAACGATCATTAATAACCAAGTAAGATTTTCTCACGCGGTCCCCAAATATATAAACGGCAATAAGGCGTTAATATATTATAATGCCACAAGTAGGAAAGCCCTCTTTCCTGGTTTGGTTCTTAAGTTACCGACATCTTCAAAATGCTTCTTCATTTTTTATCAAGGCAAGTGCTTCAAATGGGAGCAGGAGAGTTTTTAATATGATGAAGAAGAAAATATCATGGCGTGAGATGGTAGTTCATATTCCCTGCTTAGCACTGCATTTACTCAACCTATTCCATAAAAGTTATTAGGTCTCCGGACTATACTGAGACATGGGGTAAGACATTTTTAACTATATCAGTATCAGTAATCTGGTCTTAATTAGGTTCATAGTTCCTTATAATTTAACAGAGTTTTATTGTCACCCTTGCTGATGTCCTCTCCTACTGGATATGCGCCTAGTTACATAGCCTTGTAGACTAGTAGTTGCTATTGCTTTAAGAACTTGTATTGAAGTATGTTTACCCCTGAGATTGCCGGTTCTAACCCGTTAGGTGTGGCTTTTAAATAATTAACTTGTTTGACAAATTCGGTTGATATCTATATAGGAAGTTATATCATGCGGCTCTGGTGAATGTGAGGTTGGCAAAGAGGAATCGACATCGTATTCTATTAACTTCTCCTTCGCAGAGGATGTACCTCCTGGATTGGAGTGGATTAACGGTAGTTTTGAGGTGTCTAAATCTTGGATATTAGGGACTACTTATTCATGCTCTGGTGAACCTGGGGAGAAGGTTTGTGTGTGGTATAATGCCGCCTACACATCTGTAAGTACCTATCGAATTTAAAATGCGCCATTTCGATATTATTGCATTCATTATGAAATAACGGCTAATTGATGCTTGCCATAAAAATACTCAGTCCAAAAAGTACTTCATGGTAATTGCGGCGCAGGAACTACATGCAGCGACCCCATTGTTATAAACAGTCCAAAAACGAATAATAATGGCGGTGGCTTCTATTGCGCATTCGGCAGCAGTTGTCGGTCTAGGAATGATGAGTATTGGGAACAGCGACCGAAATATTAGAGATTGCTGTTATATGTACTGAGCAATGATTGTCATGACGTAGAGATTTCCTTGTCTGTTTGATATTCCTCATTTTCTGTTACCAATTCGAGGATAATTCGTAGGAATAAATGATCTCTTGCTGGAGGCTAAAATGCTTAACTGTATAGCTCTTATCCTTTACAAAGGTACCTAAGGTTGGCATAATCTTCTAACCTAGTAATACACGAGCTAGGACCACTGCCATTCTTGAACAAATCACGATTCAAACAAAAATACACAATCATTAAGAATAATGCCAAATCTGACCTCTATGTATGTACTGCACAAAAGTGCACATGTAACCTAAAATACAACGAAGCCCTCGATCCTGGTGTCCTACGACTGAAAACAGCAATTACAAGAGGGGGAATAAAACGTCAAAAACACTGTCATAACCCACGGCTACTCTCTGGGTGCAACGCCAAACATTCATTATCCAGTGACTATTCAACTGATCGCCTAGAACAGCGTGAACCCGGCTGTGAAAGACAGAGCGATCATCGCCGGGATGGCGATGGCGGCGGCGGAGAGGGGGCCCTGAGGCGCCAAAGTAGGGGCAGCATTGCCGGACTCAGACGAGCCGGATCCGGTAGAGGAGCCACTACTGGGGGTGTTGATTTCGTCACCCGAAAGTGGCTTGACAGCGAGATTCGAAAGAGTCTTTCCATCGACGTCTGTAACCTTGTGGCTGACGGAGTAGTCGGTGATGTCAACAATCTTGCCGGATGGCTTGGGCGAAACACCGTTGTCAATGATCTTTTGAGCTCCAGGGGGAGGGGCGGGAATGGTGAAGTTGTTGTTGAATCCCTTCTCCTTGATCAAGCTGGCCTTGCATTCAGGAGGCGTCACCTTCTTACTAGTAGCCTTGACGCTCTGAACCTTGTTGAAGTCAACCTTGCTGTACTGATCGTGAAGAGTGTGGTAGTCAGCCAAGAGTGTAACAGTTCCGTCGTCGTTGCATTCAGCTAGACCATAGTTATTGTCCTCCTGGGCCCATTCGTAGACAACACCACCAGCGAAAGTACCCATCATCTGCGGTCCGTAGATGGTGCCAATCTCAGTGAAAACACGAGGAGAAGGCGTGTTGCAACCGAATTCGGAGTAGAAGACAGGAACGGAGGAATCCTTGAATAGAGTAACAAGGGTGTCATATCCAGACTTCTGGAAAGAGCTGTCGCCACACCACGAGTAACTGTTCAGAGCGAACATATCGGCTCGGGACATGTCGTTCTCGTCACCATCGATAGCACACTGGAAGTAGTTCCAGGTATCCTCAAGGACATCACGGACATCGGCAGCTGAGTAGCCAACGGGAATCGCACGGTCGGCGTGGTTCTTGATGTAGTTCTTGAGGTCACGAGTGACAGCACGGACGTAAGGGGGTACGGTAGCACCAGTCTTGACGTTATCAATGACTTCGTTACCGGAGAAGAACCCAAGGGTGTTAGGGTAAGACTTGAATGCCTCAACTATGGCGAAGGTCCTGTTAAGGTATGCGGCATAGTACGACTCCCAAGGCGCACCGCTGTTCAGAGACTCGCCTGCCAAGGGCGAGTTCACATCAATGATCATGTACATACCCGCCTGTCGCCAACGGTCAGTCTAGAGTCGCATGTCACTTAATATACTGAAACTTACAGCATTGAAAACGCTGGCACATTCGTCGTGGTTTAGATTAGGGTCCAAGTTGTACACTCGAATCGTGTTGACACCCAGAGCCTGCATCAAAGCGGCGTCTCGCTTGCAGATGTCACCGTTAGAGAGAGGATCCTTCCCATGCTTTGGGTCGTAACCAGCACTTCCGCCGATCTGATAAGCCATCCCCACAATCTGAAAAGCGTTACCACTCTTGGAGTTGACGAACTGCTGACCCTGAACCTCGAGAGGAGTGACAGCAGCCGCTAGGGTTGCGCCGCCTAGGGCGACGATCGCAGATTGAAGTAACATGATTAATTTTATTGTCCAAAGGTGTTTTTTTCCAATGGGCGTAGTTGATGCGAGGTTCGTTTCTCCAGGTAATAGAATCTCGAAAAGGGTTTTTGATGTTTAATTAGTATTTGCGGGATGTCGATTTCATAACCTTTATAGGTGCGAACAGTCAACACAAAGTAGCTTTGTTAAATAGAGTTCTTGAGAGAGTGACGAGAATAGGCCTATGGCCAAGAAAAAAACGATTGTGTGAGTAAGTCTAAGTGAATTAGTGAAAGAGGATGGTAGAAAGAGAAAAGTTGAGTTAAAGTAAGCGACAAGATGGAAAGAAGTTACGAAGAGGCAAAAGAGGTTGGGTGCGAAGGAGGGAAGAAGGTAGATAGATAATTGGCAGATTCAGGTTTGCAGGTGCAACCAGGAGCGAATGAGCGAATGTTACATAGGTACACATACATACCTAACCTAAGGTAATGAGTGTACTATGGTAATGTACCTAACATCCATTTACACGATGCCAATCAGTGACTGCCCACCTATATTAACTCGATTTTACGATTTTACGAGGGGTTTTACTAGCTGACTAGGGCGTCTTGGGCTTTCTTGGGCGTCTCTATTGCAACAATCAACAGCTTGTCGGGGGGTTGTGACTGGTTGAGTGGGTAGAGATCCATCCAAACAAGGAAAGCCCCATAAAGTGGAGCTGGAGTATAACCCGACCAGGATTGGTTCATCTGACAGTTCCCTAGTTCAATTTCCTAGTTCACTCTCCTAGTTCAGTTCTACCTACCCACTCTAGTTAGGGTATGTATTGTTTTTTGATATTCGCACTGTAATTTCTCACCCATTTAGAGTGCTTAACTACCGTGTTAGCATGATGACACCATCGGACCGTACTGTATTATGCAATGATATATGCCTGTTCAAGATTGGTCCTCTACTAATTTTATAGTTTCACCGACCTTTTTCTAATGGGTCAAACGTTTTATTACACGTATTACATATCTGTCATACACTATGTATTAACACCATTAGCACTGGCATTTTGTAATGATGGTATGCTGTTTGCTTTAGGTACCTAAGTTATATTTTTATTAATTAACTATCAGATTTAATCTAGGGCAACTACATCTGTAAACTATGTTGTTGCTCCCAGGGAACTCTTCTCATGGCTTAATGTTCTAGCCTATCCTCCATCGAAGATCCAAGTTTAATACGAGGCTAATACGATGTTGCTTCGTGATGGATTGGGCAAGTCTTTTGCTATATAGGCTATTATTTGCTTAGCTTCTTGTCAGATGTACGAGCTTCCTTTCAGGTTATGGTAGCATCCTGAACTCGCCGAATATTCTATTGACAGATGCCAAGCTTTCTTTCTGTACTGGCTCGAGGGATAGGGTTAGGCCATCGTGTGGCTGATTCTTTAAACACTTTCTGCTTCTTCTGTGTCTTCTACAATGCTACATATTGATCCCTCGATGTCTTAGTTTCGGAATGTTCTACAACGACTAGAACGACGTCACAGCTGTTGTACAAGTGTAGGGTTGAGGAAATGATGAAACATGGACCGTTTTCTGTGCGCGTGGGTACTAGTGAAAATCACAATTCGAACATTTAAGATTCCCCTGAAGATCCATTCATGTTGCGAGAAGACAATAGAAAAATTCCGGGGCGTAGTGACGCTTTTTAAGGGTACCCCTGTCTCAGGGGTTGGCTACCGTTTTCCTGTGGTGTAACAATAAGGTTGAATAGAGCTTAGCTTCAAGACGGCGCCAAATGACAGATGGGATGAGGTCTAATGCGAAACTTTCAACTGAAAACACTAGCCTCACTCACCAGCCACGAAAATCTATAACACCAGCCTCAAATCTTTTTTTCGGTCGGACCCTAAAGTTAAGGTAACAACCTAAGCCTGAGCCCTTGAAATTCTGCCGGTTTCACTGCCTCTGCCTTCGGACTGCGCCGGCCGATTTCTGCAGTGTGACTTCAAGGAACAAAAAAAAAGTGGCGGTCCATCATCAATTGACCGAACATTAGGTACTTTTGCTAGCTGACCCGAGCAGCTTCACATGTACTGTCAAACGGTGTCATCTCTGCGTAGATTCAGTACATTAAATAATCCAATCTTCTTTTCCCCCGCCTCTCGTTTCTGCGCATCGTCGGTAGCCCAATTCGTCATCCACAACCCTCGCAGCGCCGATAAGATGGCTTCCAGTACGTGTTTCTATTTCTCTCCTCGCTCGTCGGGGTCGCAGTCGTCCCGGGATCCCACTTGAACGATTTCGAACCGAACCAAGGCAAAAAGCCTCGCTAACTAAATCCCTTTCGCCCCCGCAACAGCGCTGCCTCAAGACCGCCGCCCCGTCGTCATCTCCGGCCCCTCGGGCGTAGGCAAGGGCACACTCTTTAAGCGTCTGTTCGACGCGCACAAGGACTGTTTTGCTCTATCTGTATCGCATACGACGCGCAAGCCACGCGCTGGCGAGGCCCACGGTGTTGATTATTATTATGTGCCAGCCGAGGAATTCGAAGCCTTAGTCCAGGCCGATGGCTTTGTCGAGCACGCCAAGTTCGGTTCCAACCGCTACGGTACCTCTAAGCAAACCATTGCTGACCAGACCGCCAAGGGTCGTGTCGTCGTACTTGATATTGAGATGGAGGTGAGTTCCTCGAACCCTACAGATCATTGTCAAAAAGGATATTGCTAAAGGGAGATAAAAACAGGGTGTCAAGCAGATTAAGAATAGCGGCATAGAAGCGCGCTATGTCTTTATTAAGCCGCCTAGCTTCGAGGAGCTCGAAAAGCGCCTGCGAGGTCGAGGTACCGAGGACGAGGACTCCATCGTCAAGAGGCTAAATCAGGCCAAACTCGAGCTCGAATACGCCGATACGCCTGGTGTTCACGATATTATCATTGTCAATGACGACGTCGAGAAGGCATTTAAGGAGTTAGAAGACTTTATCTACAAGCCATTAGCATAGATCGCAAAGTTAGGAATAATGTCGGTTGCACATTAGAATCCAATGGTAGATAAGAGCATAATCCCGGGGAATATAAGCCAACCAACAGGATAAGACCCCGATAAATCACAAATTTAAAGCAGAGGTGTTTGGGGCATAAGTCTCGTATTTATTCCATCAGGTATCAGAGCGGGCTCTATTAGAGTACAGTAGAGGCTTGACCACGGATTAATCTTAGCAGCTTTAGAGAAGATGAACAGAGCTTTGGGGGAATACTAAAAAGGAAATAATAAGAACGTCGCGTCGCCAGACTGTAGATGGAAATACTGCTTGCTTGGCCGACAAACACATAACAAGCTCGAACAACCCAGACAGGTCAACATATCTGACCTTAGCTTCAAATACGCCTCCTCACGTAACCTCAAATGTTTTCCTACGCGGACACAGTTTTGGGTATCCCATCCTAAGGAAATTTTTGGGACCCTCGGGCTCGGGGTAATTTTTGAAATGAGTCGCCCCCTCCCATGTTGCATCCTAGTCATCGGAGCCGCTCATAGTAATAGTCGTAAAGGGTAATTAAAGATCTTTCGCAAGGATGGGAAAGCCTGAATCCGAGGAACGCCTCGTAGAAAGCATACAAAGAAAATCAGATGATGACTTAGTAACCGTTCATAGTCATCCGTTGAGAGCTCCTGCTCATTTCGCGATCTGCGGCAGGGCTGATCGGTCTGCTGCCGTGGCCTTGTGCGCTGCTCTCCTTGAGCGCCAACAATTGCTTGGCACGGAAGGTCTCGTAGTGAATCTGCGAAGTAGTCTCGATGAGATCCTGTAGATGAGTTCGGAGTAGGAAGTTCCTCAGGTAGACGAATTCGCAGTGGTTCTCATCTTCAACATTGATTACACCCCATCGGTTTTGACGTCCACGAACTTGCTTGCCGTTGACAATGATCGACTTCTCGGAACCGACAACAGCAAAGGGAATAAGGCTCTGCATGATTCGTTAGCATAAGAAAGGTAGGGTACACATGACATGTAAAATACCTTGATCTGAGTGTTAATCGAGCGCTCCTCCTCATCAAGCTCATCGTTGTCGTAAGGGTACATCTTGAGGTTGTGGAAAGCAAACTCCTCCTTGATTCGCTCTTTGAACTCTTGTCTCTCTTCTAGAGTCAGAGTGTCTGCCTTGGCGATAACCGGCACAACGTTAACAACATCAGAAAGCTTCTTCAATACTACGATATCGATTGGCTTTAGAGAATGTCCCGAGGGCTGAATGAAGAACAAGCAGCAGTGAATACGGGTATCCGGAATGTAACGCTCTCGCTGTGCTGTGAGCTCCTTTCGCAGGTACGCGGAGTGCTGATCCTTGATGTACTTGACGATGGGGTCCCAGCAGCGGTCGTTGTTGACCAGGTCACCATAGCCCGGTGTGTCAACAATGTTGAGCTTTAGGCGGACACCATTCTCCTCGATAACGTGCGATACGGGGTGGATCTCGGTGGTGGAGCGAATCTGCTCATCAGGTACCATTCTACCTTTTGAGTCGATAAGGTGGGATGCAAAGATGGTATTGATCAGAGTCGACTTTCCCAAGCCAGTTTGACCTATTGCATGACACGAGACACGTCAGTTACACAAACTAGGGGAACGTGCCGCAGCGGGTTAAACGGTAGCTATTTGATAGCTAGAACTTAAAGGGGAATAGATAGCTTACCAACGCAAATGACATTGAACTGGAAACCTCTCTTCAAGAGCTTGCGCTCGATCTGAGAGGTAATGCTGTCGAAACCGACATGGCTGTTAGGGTAGATGGTTTGCGATGCCATTGCTTCTGACTTGATGGATCAATGAATAGATTAAAATGTCGACACCTATTCCAAGAAATAGCCTAGTGGCAATTGGAAAAACGAACGAATGACGAGGAGTGGTGACGTGAGCTCTGATGCGAGACAGAGTTGAAGTTGATGGTTGATGGGGAAAAGAAGGTTGAGGTTCGTTGGCGTTTGGGAATTTTTTTGACGTGAAGGGGATGGATCCTCTCTAGATTGCTCCCTGCGATTTCCTTGCCAAACAATAATTTCCGTTAAGAAGGTGCAAGTTGGGCATGGGCTAGGAACCACAAGAAAGGGGGAAGGGGGCTGGCAGGTGCTGATAGGCCAATGAACATCCGTGCGTAGAAGTATTAGTGGATCGGAGCTGGGGTTGAAAGTCGTACGTGCCTGCGTCGTTTGGTGCCGGCTGATAAACAGATGCCCGGAACTCTTGACCAATCAATCTCCATTTTTGCGCTAGAAACTTTTTAGACAACGGCAAGCTCTTTCTATCAATATCAATAGCTGTACATACTATACTTTTTTTTATTTTATTTTTTAACCGGCGTGCGCAATAATTGCCAATATTTTTTTCTTGCGCATGGCAATTCTCCTACAAAGGAACCAAGAAAGAAAGACAATTTATTACTACGACGCTCCGAAAGGCAACGGTTACTCCGCCTGTTAAAGTCATAAACCATGGCCGCCCTCCAGCAGCTGCGAATAGCCTCATTCTTCCCCTCCCTCTTCCCGAGGATAGCATCAACAAACTTCCAGTCCTCTTTCCGATCAACCGTATTATATACACAATATGCGCGGGAGTCGCGACTACCGTCAGTAACCGAGCTTGCTATCGCCATCCCTGCTGCTATTTCAAATATACCGTCTCTACTGGGTGATATATGGGAAGGTATACTTCGAGCAGTGCCTAAGAAAAAGACATCACATATGAAGAAGAGACATCGACAGATGGCAGGAAAGGCTCTGAAGGATGTTACATCATTAAATAAGTGCCCAGCCTGCGGGGGAGTAAAAAAGATGCATACTTTATGCTCTGATTGCATGGGCCGTTAGTTGTATCTCTCCATAGTTTTGGCAATATACTAATAAGTGTATGGTTAGGTCTCGGCGGCATGCTTGAACGGGATTTCAAGCAAAAGGTATAATACAGATCAGTCATGAAACTAGAATTCATGTATATCACTGGCGTTCTGGTATAACTAAGGGTAAGGAATTCTATAATAAATTCCTAGGTACCTATTGACGGTGAAAGATATGTACAATGAATCCACGAGTCTATGAAGTTACCTATGTCTTACCTGTCTATTAAGTGTATGTCTATAATTAGTAGCGCTGTTGGACTTAAGTTCACTTTTGCCAATGTAATTATGAGGTCAAATGCTACCTAAGTGAAGCTGCTGTAAATTCAGGTGTATACAATCATGCGTCAGGATAGAACACCTACCTCCAGATACATGTCTTAGAAAAGGTAGCCAGCCTATACGTACCTAGGTATGCACAGTATACCTATTATATACTTTGTGCTAGACTTAATAAATAGACAAGATACATGTACCTAGGAACGTCGAAAAAAGAAGGAACGAAGGGAGAGATATGTGATGTAATAATATTTGAGATTTGGGACGTAGTTTACCTATTAGATAGAAGAAGCCTCTGCCTAAGTCTCCAATTTTTAGTTAACCCCACCAGAGCTAAGACAACTTGCAGATACCGTCTGTACATTAGCGTCAGTATATAGGATCCTAAGACCGTATTGATACCGTATATTTATAGTCTAATTGTCTGAATAGTTACACCTTTCGGGACTAAAGAACGACGGTAGCCACATCTACCAACGGTATTGGTATCAAATGGTATTTTCGCGATAGAACGTTTGGTGTATCGAATGGTTTTTCCCTTGCGAATGGTTTTTTTTGACCAACGGTTTTTTTTGGGACCAACGGTCTTTTTACGGTCAAGGAAGGGGCAAGAGGTAAAAGAAAAAATATACCTTATTACCTACCTACCTACCTACCCACTTATTTATATACATATATTATATATTTTTACACAGGTATTAATAGGCATTCTTTTACTTTCGAACAGGCTACGGCTACAGCTACGGGGTTACTATTTAAATAGACTATTAGATATTACATACACAAGCGCGTATAGCCTGTAATTGTTTGGGTATATAAGGTGGCATTCGCAGCTTCCTTACTTGAATATATTACACCTTCCTAGACCGTAAAAAAACCGTTGGTCCCAAAAAAAACCATTCGTAGAAAAAAAACCATTCATAAAAGAAAAACCATTCCTAAGCATATAAACGACTCAAATACCCAACCAAATATATACCATTCAAATAAATACCGGTTGAAATATCAAAACATTTAGATGTTCAAATAGTATCAGAGCCTCAAACGGTAAATGTACGGTCTATTGCTTGATTACTGTAAATGTTCGGTACCTGGGTCTTATATCCTGACGCTAATGTAGCATTTAACATTCCTAACATCATCAAACCCCACCATACTTTCTACCCAGCAGCTTCGCGACAAGTCCACATGGATCGATAGCTACACCATGGTAGGTATAGAAAATAGAAATGACATTATGTGTTGTAATATCAGCTTGCTAATGAATTTATAGTCGAAGCAATACCTAACGACACATACTATCGACAATGGTGAGTATTGTTCTTTTCTAAAACCCAACCCCCAAACTAACCTCGGACACAAAGCTTCGAGCTTTTAAGCTTCAGCCAAGCTTATGCTAATACATATCTATTAGCACACATAACCGACATCTTCTCTCTTGCAGCCACGCCTACGGCACTCCTTTCCGCTAGCGGCTCTTCAACTATACATATACATGCCACTTCACAACCCTCCATCCCTCTTGCCCAGTCTCTAGCTGGTGCGCATAAACTCGGCTGCCACCATATTGCCGTCTCTCGCAATGGTAAAGTCGCAGCTTCAGCTGGTTTTGGTGGGGAAGTAAAAATATGGAAGTTGGCCGAATCAGATACAGCCGAGTGGCAACCCTTTGGAGAGCTAGATCCTACCAAAGGCTCAGGAAAGAGTGCTGGAGAGGTATGGGCCATTGCGCTTAGTGAAGACGGCCAATACCTGGCTTCTACTACCTACGATGGACGAGTCAATGTATGGGACCTTCTTGGAGACAGATCCGAGAAATTGCGCGAGTACGAAACTGGAAATCCAGGCTCTGGTTCTTTCGGGCTTTGTGTAGATCTGAGTCGCGATGGGAAATACACAGCAAGCGGTCACCAAAGTGGCGCTGTCTACGTATTTAACAACGACACGGGCCGACTACAATACTCACTTCCAGGTACGTTTTGCTTCTCAACCATCCCTGCGCACATCTTTCCATATATGTTTTTTGTGGACTAATTGGCCGATAGGTCTGGTCAAACCAATCAGAACAGTAGCATTCTCGCCAGCTAGCACACGTCTAGCTGCTGCCGGTGACGCAGGTATCATCGCCATTTATGACACAAAACATGGCGAACATGTGGGTAACCTAAAGGGCCATACAGCTTGGATCACCTCTATCGACTGGAATGACACGGGCGAGTACTTACTCAGTGGTGCTTTCGACGGCAAAGTAAAGGTTTGGTCTATCGACAAAGGTGTCTGTGTTGCAACTCACAGCGAGACGGACAAGGCGCTCTGGGCTGTTAAGTGGTTACCCAAGACAGGACGAAACGAGATGTTTTGCACGGCCGGTGCAAATAGGAGCCTGACTTTCTACCGCGAAGCTACAGGCGCATAAACTGTTTCACTGAGGACTTAACTTGATATTTGCCCTGCCGGCGTTTAGGGAAAGGAAAATACAAAGGGGTCTCGGTATATGCGACAGGGCATTGTGATATATACGTGCTTGGCCAAACCTGGCTACATACCTAATGTAACCAAATAAAGATCCATACGAAGAACTGAATCCACGCTGCAGTAACCAGAGATATGTATGTTCTCCGGACTATGCACTACACACCTTAAGTCCCCATACATGTATCTAAGCTTACTTCCTACTAGTGAGCGTAGTTTATTTTATTATTCAGTCGCAGTTGATAATTAATACTATAAAGAATTATCTAGGTGTGAATATATTTCCAAATAGAATATCAGATGTGGTATAGCTAATATAACGTCATCAAGCATATGCTAATTAAGATACATCACATACATAGCATGCGTATAATAACTGGCCCCAATACCTATTACTAGCTCAGCTACCTAAGATACGGTGATATTTTTTTGCCGGTTCATTTATTACCTATACTACAGCAAATATGAAGTGCTATACTTATAAACATGGAAGGAACCTTGTTCCCGAAGTCGGTATAGAGTGTGACTCAAAATCAAATACCCCTGAACATCCTTTGAACATCATCCCCTCTCATCTACCTACATAGAACATAGCACAATTCCTCCCCTAAGCTTGCTTGTATATTTCGTGAATCGTGATGAACTCGATTGAGATGATTTACAATCAGATTATTTATTGTACAAGAAACACCAGGTCCCCAGAGAATAAAAACTACTAAATATATATAACTACCTATATAAAAGAGCCAAGGTCAAATAATTACTACAATTTCTCTTCGAGTCTCTACAACTTTTAATAGTCCCTTAACAATAGCAATGGCTGACACCCCAATAACGACGGAAACGACACTGTTTCCTACGGAATTATCAAGCATACCACCTACTACCGCACAGAAGCCGAGCGAGCCAGCGGTACTCCCGGAGGTAACTATAGGCATTTCTGAGCGATACATCCAAGGCCTTGCAAGCGCCGTATCACGGGCCTCAGCCACAGACCCCCTAACAGTCATGTTCCAAGGGGAGAAACTACCTCCAGGCCAGACAACCAAGGATGTCGACCTTGCCATCATGCAGCGCATCGTGTACGATTCAGCTATTACACGGCTCGCTGCCAAGTTAGCCATGGGCGGGTTTGTCGTAGAGGCTGGTGGCTTTGCAGCAGTAGCGTGCTGGGAGCCGGCGCGAGTGGGTGACCCGCACCGCATAGATGTGTCGACGGCGACAACGTCAGGGAAGAGACCGCTATTTAAAGCGTTTGTGGACGGGGTCGCGGAGCTAATGCATGAGCACTTGTATCCTATTGCGGAGCGTGTGAGTGCTGGCCGGTATTGGAAGTTGAGCCTTATGGCGAGGGATCCGGCGGTAGAATATGTACCAGGTGCTGGTAAGTGACCTCTGCTCGTATACCCCCTAACCCCTTTTCCAATTGATGTGATATGATCTAGAGGCCAGGCTTTTTCTTTAGTCTTGTATGGAGGCTATTGTCTATGAACTAGGTACCATTTCTCTGATTGTCACCGTTGCATGACCTACGATGTCTAGGTGCTGAGTATAAAATATACGGAAGTAAACCTATGCTCCTAGCTTTGTAATATAGCACATAAAGACTATACCCGCAAGCTTCCCACAAGTCACAGCCTACCTATCATCCTCCTATTGCAACATGGATGAGAGCTGGCTGGATGCTAGATTCTATTTAGTATTTTCTAGCCTATATACCAGACCTCTCATTTTGACCCAACCGATAGGGCCCTGTTTTGTCCGAATCAAATACTAACTTTTATTACCCTAGTTCGGGCGGTGCTGGTCCCCTTTATGGAGAAGTTCACCTCAGACCAAAACGAAGGCGGCGCTATGCCTGTGTGGCTAGATGCTGGCAGCGAACGGGCTCGTGATATCTATGCCCACTTTGGCTTCCGTGAGGTTGGTGAGATAGTCACAGGAGGAGTTAAGACTTGGGGCATGATATACACGGGAAAAATTAATATCAAGAAGATAGATACTAAGACCAGCTGAGCACTGTGTAGGGAGGTAAAATAACATTCTCTTCATTCTGTTCTTATTATGGTCTGTAATATTGAAAGATGTTTTTTGTCCTTAGATCTTGATTTGGCTACCTATTTAGGTACGATATATTTTATAGTACAATAACCTAATATTGTCGTAAACCTTGAATGTATTAGAGAAGAGATTGGATTTCTGGGAGAATATTTGCAATTTATTCAAGCGCTAAGAACAAATTTACCCCTGAGTTCAGGTACCTAACAATTTAGATCCTTCTTAGTTCGAGGTTCTTTATGTACTTGTAGATAGAAGGCTCCTAGGCGAAAGTGATTAGAAAGGCCACCTTCCTTTCAGGTGTCTGATATTAGGCGCCACATATCATGTATGCCTGAAGCTGAAGTACATCTACTTCGAGTGTCACTTGATGTGGGAAGTGACCTTGTTACTATCATTATGGAATAATAGGATAAATCCAAACCACTGTAATGAGTGAGTCACAGACCTGTTACACTGGTACAATTTATTGGCGAACATTGTAAGGATGTCGTAAAACGAGGCTAGAAGTGGCAATAGCGACATTACCGACAATTGGTGTATGTACCTCTTAGAATAGATACCTGGTATAGCGCATATCTCCTAAGGAATACGTGCATCTGTTGTAGTGTAGGACGGTAGGCGCGATCCGTTTCGTTGTTGCCCCGGTAGAGTTGGTCCATGTTACTGTCGTGTAATCAGTTGTCGCCTAACCATCTGCCAGATTTTTCTTTTCGCCGCCTTAAGCTTTTATTCACACCGCCTAAGATTTTATATTTAACAACAGCTAGGTTGCCCACTTTCTCCTTCTCTTTACACACCATTTCTTTACAACTCACAATATTCTAAACGCCCAGGTACCCTTTTAACCCCTATTTGTCTATCCCTAATAAGATATAATTAACCTAAGTCTTTGCATCGTTTTTATTTACTACAACATCAGAAACGCGTCAAAGTCTGGTTAAGACCCAGAGAGTCTCGATGAATTTGAGAATATCAAAAAGACTATTGCATATTATTTTAACTATCAACCCCTAGCCTTTCGCATTCTGTCAGTACCTATATACCCAGGATATGGTAAAACAATCAGGCCGTGCCGTCTACAATATTCTTAAGCTTCGAGATATTTAGACGCGTCTAAATTATTAGTAAGTCCTTCAGATGCTTCTATCATATCAGCAAGTGCACTTCTTTCAACATTTCGAACTGTTGGGCATTGAGAATCATACATCTCATTTCATCTCTATACCCCGGTGTTATTGATCAGCCTCTTCCGTTACACTATCATATTTTATCGACGCATTTTACATGTGATCACCTAGTACTTCTCTCCCCTCAACCCACCCGGGCTTCCTTACTTTCTATTTACCTCAACCCATTGTCCCCAGAAACAATTATTGTGCTATTCAACTTACTCCCTAGGTTGTCCTTGTTATTAATCTAGGCGCTAACGTTTATTTAAATAGTTCCCATATCCCACTTAGCGCAAAAGGCTCTAATAACTACTTAACATAATTTATCCTCAAAGTCTGGTAAATAACATAAGGCATCCTTTCTTAAATGGTACTCTTTTCTTCCTTCTGCTTGAATAATTTCTCCTTCAACCTTATCACTCTAACAATTATACTGATAAATGATTGCAGCTAATGTATCTGAGCAATGAGAACGTGGCTTATATGCAACTTTAATTATCCACTAGAGAAATTACTTCTCAACACGGTCGGCATCCTAAAGTCTGTCAGTTACACTTCAAGGAGACAATTTATAATGGCCTATATTCTAGACATATCACCGGCCGGCACAGCTGGGTATAATCCCTTTATTTATTTACTATGGCAAGGCACATAAACTAATACTGTATTTTTTAGCCATTCAAGGGCGTGGTAATGCGTACGAAAAATAAATATAATGGGCATTACCTATCTTATAGGACCCAGTGGCGAAGAAATGATCCCGTTCAAAGTAAGTTTTACCCTGAATTTCCCGATTCCGCAGCTACTATCACAGTAACCCAATCCTCTGCTATACCCAGAATCGGCATTAACTCACCTAATTAGTCTAACACGATCGGCCACGATTTGCAGACTTCTGACCTATGCAATCAACTTCCTCAAGAAGAAGCCGACACGTAGCACTATCACAAAGAAGAAGCAACATACTACAACTACACACAACCCTAAGTTTCTCGGAAAAGATGCAGTAACCAGGCCGCTTAAGCTTAGGTACCTGACTACCACAGAATCGCATAACGACATCAACGAAGCTATTCAGCATTCTTACACAAGGAGGACTATCAGTTATCCTTACCTTGATCGAGTCTCTGTCAAGATCTTGACTACTAGACCATCTACGTCAACAATGTGGGAACGGAGTCCTAAAGGAAATAAAATCCTAGGATGTTGGGTGGGCAGAGAATGATAGAAACCTAAAGCCTAAAATTTTCTCGCTGGTTACGGAATTCTAGCAAACGATACCAGCGACAATTCTAGCACCGATCCGAGTGACGATCCGAGTGACAATGCCTACAGACTACAGATGCCTTAGCCAAGCACTAAACTATGGACTCACAATAATCGGGCCCCTGAAGGCTAGTAATGAGGCTCGTGCTAGGTCTTCTTCGCCCTCTGTGGGCATAATAAGCCTAATATGCCACTCAAAAGTACAACTGTGGTGCGGCTACTAACTTGTATTATGCAACCTTTGGAATATGCTAAGGCTTTATCAAAACAAAGCTACCTAATGGAAACTTGGAAGAATGGATGCGTCTCAAAATGTGAGCTAGCAATGTAAGCTTGGTGGTGCCAGTGTCTGGTGGCCTTAGGAAAGTACTACATAGTCTACGAGGAAGCTGGCTTAAGGGTTGGCCTGAAGGCGGGATGGTTATTTGGCTAGTTCAAGATAGTAAAAGATAGATTCTTCGACTATGAAGAGTAAGCCTTCAGATGGCCAACTTGCGGCCCCGGAAGACCTTATGTCTATTAGGGAGCATTCAACTATAGACTAACATCAATAAGTAACAAAATAATTGATCGCTCAAACTACTGGCCCTTGATCAGAGACAGCGAGCACTTGGTGGAAACTAGACGATATAATAATCATTATAACTTCTACGTGAGTATCGTAGTACCTGTAGGAATTGCATATCTAAGTCTAGTTCTATATACCGGAATGCGCTCTACCTTCGGCATATAACATGCCACTTTCTTTCGGTGGCAACATCTACGTCTAGACAACCAGAGAGCTCAACGCAAGGAAGATTCCACTAGCCCCAGTCGTCAATTTATTCAAGACCTTCAATATGCATGCAGGCTTCCGAGCCTCAACTTAATAGGGCATTCTATCCGAATCCCTTGGATGTCACGCTGTTATCCCATGTGGCTACACGAGACATATGGTGGCTTTGGTAGCGAGCCGACGCGGTGTCATGATGTGCATACATTAGATACCTCTTATATATATATTATATATCCTCGACGCTCCGTAATCCGCATCCCTCCCAAGGTCCATCCGGTCCACAAATGTGCCACGGAAACTACTTCCGTAGAAAAAAAAAAGGAAACCGAAAAAAAAAAAAAAGTAAATTCAAATACTAACGGTGCGCCTACGCACGTACATTCGCTTGATTGGCCAATTGCGGTATACATGTATTATATTCGTCATGTATGTTCCAAATGTAACGTTGATTACATAGATATCATATGTGAAAAACGCAATGCAGTAACCTAGCAGCAGGCAGCGGTTCTTGTGGCGCGGGCACAGACCTTTCCGGAGATGCAAAATCTTGTGCGACCTCGGGTTTTCCCTCTCTCACACATTTTTTTTTTCAGGGGGTAGAGATAATAAGATAATAGGTCAGGTTAGGAGTTTTATGATTCGGTTGAGATTCGGCTGCAGCAGATTAGAAATAAATAACGAAATCGGATTGGTCCCCACAGTTCTAGAGTTGGCCGCAGGTACGTTCGATGTCGATATCGATTTCCAGAAATGGGCGTCCCCGGTCCGATTCATTTTCGGAGCCGATTCGGATGGGCGAACCGGCGCTCCCCGTTCGGTCCCCGCACTTTCCTTTTCCTCTGTTCCCACAAACGCCAACGTACCCAAGGGAACGAAAAGGTGACCACAAACCCACCCCATTCTCCTCCCCCCCCCTCCTTTCAGATTGAAGGAATGCGGAGTCTTGGCTGCCGAAGGCGAGATGACGGGTTCGATTCGTTTGTATGTATGTTTAATAGTGTATTTTTACCACCCCCCCGCTTCTCAGTTCTCGACTAATCTTTCCCTTTTTCTCTCGATTTGGCCCCTGGTAGCCGTAGGCCCTGGTTACCTATCTACCTAGGTACGGAAAGGCGGTTGAGGTTTTTTCACCGAACTGCCCGTCCGTGAAAAAGGACATTCTTATTCTCCCGAGCTCGTACAAGATAACGGCCGCGCCACGAATCAGGGAGGGGTTAGCCGAGCAAATTATATGCACGAGTGCGGGGGGAGGGACTCGCACTTCACTGATGAGATGCGGGTGTGAAAGAAAAAAAAAAAAAAAAGAGGTCACGATTCCTTGCTAAGACCTTTTACATCATGGTCCAATAGTAACGACTTTACAGCACATTGGCGCCGCGTTCCTGACGTACGAGGCATACTTACAACTTTCTTTCCACTGTGCGTCGTTTTCTAATTTCTCCCACCGGCACCTCTAGCTCGCTACCGCAGTAAAGCAGAGTACATTGAGCTCTGATCGCCGGGGCTTCCGCAGCAATTGGTTTCAGTGCCGCGCAGGAGATTTCTGCGAAAGGATTCGGTATCGTGCTTCTCTGGGTCACCTTGGTCGCCTTCCTGCAGAACCTTGGGACCGCCGCCGTATTTGTCAAGCCCGAATACCGAATTTCAGAAATCAGAATCATCGTCCTGGATCTCATTACCGCTGCACCCCACGAAATTGAAACGGCACTTGAACTCACCTCAACTCTGCCGATTGATGTCTGGTT